CTACTGGGTCAGCGGCCGGCTTGACGGTCGGAGAGCCCGATGTTAGCGGGGCTGCCGGAATCTTATGGTATGAGTGATGCACGCCACTTGCGGGAGCATGCAGAACTCTACGTCGACGTCGACGTGACGCCGGTTAATTATTTCACGTTTTGGAGAAAAGACTGTGGCAATTGGATTGATCGTTTTTACGTCCCGAAATCCTGGTTACCGGACGTTTTTTTGCTTTCGGCCACTCCACATACGTATAATTCCGATCACAAACAGGTGATGCTTCATTTGAGGAAACCACGGTACACGTCGGGATGTCGCCGGCAGCGACCAGCCACATATCCCATTCAATTTGATCGGTCGGAACTTGTCTAGATGCTCTGATAACGGAACTGATTGATATGGGGTGCGTCACGCGCCGTCCACTCGGACATGGGATCGGAATGTTGAGCGTTGTACCGCCAGTATTCGTGCAGCAACAAAATGTGAGCAGCGGTGGCGCCGACGCGTTATTGGTAAGGTTTGGCTCCGTTGTCGGCGGTAGTTTCTCACCCGTCAGCAGTGAGTATCTTTTGATGCGGAGGATGTCCGAGAAGCCCACTTAACGCGCCTGGGCGAGCAGCTCGAACGGTGGACAGACCTTCTCCGGTGGTCTTATTAGCGCCTCGCAAATTGGGAAAACAATCAACACGCCACGTTCTTGAAACCTCGACATGAGGATGCTTTTACATCATATATGTTCATTTCGGACCAATTCGCGTTGGAATGGGGTCCAGTGCTCAGCTCCGATCAACGGGGCACCGCCTCTGATAAGCTACATGCCGCGTTGTATACGTTTGTGACGATTCCGCCGGCGCGGTGGATTACTCCCTCCGACAACGACGGTCTTCTCCGACCGCTTACGGACGCTGAAGTGTTATGTGAGATTCAGACGCTACGCAGACATAAATCGACCGGCCACGATGGTCTAAACAATGATTTTTACAAGAATACCTCATCGTTTATGGTGCCGGCGATGGCCGCTATTAGCAACCAGATTATGGCTGGTGCGAACTTACCTCCTTGATTTCTCACCGACCTCAATATAACCCTCCGGAAGGAAGGCGACTCCAACGACACCATGGATTATCATCCAATCTCTTTGTTACAAACGAGTCAAAAGGTCTTTGCCAAGGTTTTAGTGACGCGCGTCCAGGTTTCACTCCCTCTCGGTATTGGCAACTCTCAACAGGGATTCGTCCACGGTCGAAGGATGACCAGAAAGGTGATGATGATAATAGCTCATTTGACGACAGTAAGCGATCAGAACGATGTGGACGCCGCACACAGCAGATGTATCGTTCTCTTGGAATTCCGAAAGGCCTATGATGCAGTGGACAGAGATTTTACAATGTATGCCGAACTGCGACAATTTGGGTACGATCAGCGTTTCATCCGCCTCATTCGGCGATTCACTCCGGAACGATAGCCAGGTTTGTCGTTAACGGGGACCATTCATCGCCTCTTCCGGCGCGGTCTGGCACACGACAGGGCTGCCCGCTCGCGCCTCTCCTCTTTTTGCTGGTGGTGGAGGTACCAGGATTCGCTCTACAGCAAGACCCCCATCTTAGGGGTTTGACCATACCCAGGCAGCCGGGTAGGTCTCACCTCTTTTCGGTCTTCGGCTTAAAACGGCTGACCAACACCTCACGCTCTCAAGCTCATACGAGCCTTTGGTGATATGTCCGGATTGAGTTTTCAATCAGACAAGAGCCAACTGATTTTTTCGAATCTGGCTATTTCTGTAGCGCAGTACGAGAGTAGTGCCGTCGTTCTTGCCGGTCAAACGACCTGGCACCTCGATGACACGGTCGGAACAGGCGACTCGGAAAACCGGAATTGGGCACTGCGGATCCAACAGATTCATAGATGTCCCGTCACGGCAACGCGGGTTGCGACAAGCGTCGCCAATCGTGTGCTGCTTCTCAGCTTCGTCGTGCGTCCCTTGATACTGATCACCGCCATCGTCTTTGAACTTCCGCTATGGGCGGAAAAAGATCTGCGCAATCTGTACATGCAATTCATGTGGGTACATGCGACGACGACGGACAGTAGTAGTCACAAAGCCAACCTCGAGCTTCTCGTTACTCGGAAACGTGCCGGTGGTATCGGTCTGGTGGGCGTGTCTGTAGCGGTCAAACCTCAGCGATTCAAGCATGCGGTGATTTGGCTAACCCAAAAGGAAGATACCTTCGTGGCCTAGCAGGCATGGGCTTTCCGCGGTGGGCCTGGAACGCACAGGGTGCGCGTCTCTCCGGCTCCAGTACAACGGCAGACGCCTTTTCGCCGGATACAGAGTCCACGTCTGCGATTGGAACAAGAGATCGGGGAATGGTTGGCACCAACATTAGCCCAGGTGCTTCACACCACCACCTGAATTGCCCGACACTCTGACTGTAACGGGGCACCGACGACTACGTACTGGTCTACCAGTACGTAGTCAACTTTCACTGACAACAGAGAAGGTCAGTGCCCATCTAAGTGTGAACACTACACAGAGGACGGTAAAAGAAAAACTGTTATCGAATGAAATCAAGTCCTATAGCTCTCATTGCCTCTGTCTGTCCTGAATTCATCATATTACTTAAACTAAACATATGGTGACGTCTACTCACCACCCATTGCGTGCGTCTAGCAGCGATTGGTGGGTTGATAACATCACAAAATATTAACCAATGAGTGTCCCCTTCGGTCACCCAACAAGGTCACTATACTTAGTGATATTGTAAAAAGAATATTCAACGTTATATTCTTTAGTGCCATTTTATTCTTCATGACAATGTCATGTAACGGGCTACCCCGTTACACTGACGCCTTGATTGCAGAGGCAATTAGTTGGTGTATGAGCTGCGTTTTCGTCGCGAAGTATCATGTTCCCTTCCCATCCCGCCCATTGGAGACCGACGACATACCAGCTGACATGAAACAATTCTGGCTTACCTTTTGCTGGAATGCGAACCCCTGGATTCGCGACGCGCGTGAAAATGTGCTATTGACTAGCACCTATACTCGGATCGCAGACTGTTCTCTAGTATTTCTACAGTGTGAGTGTGTAGGCCCATCGGTTTTCGCTTTTCGAATACCTCGGCAACCGCTTCAAGCAAACCGCCACTCTGCGACACCATTACGCAGGTGGGCCACTTCCATCGTGCTTTCTGCGCCCGTAATTCCTGTCGGGTAGGTGTTTAGTACGAGCGCGCCGCTACGCCTCCGAAAACCACCGCGATTTAAGGAGTGCTTGCACTGGAGCTACCAAGGCTTAGGCGTCATTGACGGGCGGCCGAAAGAAGCTAGTCTCTGCTCGGCACCGTCCGTAACTCTGTTACGAGGCGAAGTTGGGCTAAACTGGTTTTGTCAAGGGCCTCTTCCAGCTCTCGACCCCAGTTCGGACGAGGACCAGCGGAAGGTACGTTCAGGTATCCACAAATAAGGACTGGTATTCGAAGCGCACCCGACGCTGCATCGCTTCCCGTAGTCTGTCCCCGACGCAACGACCGACCTGCACGTGCTACGGCCGTAGGAGATCAGGTTTTCAGTCCTGTTAAAAGGTCCTCGCCCGGCCACTACTGCTGTTTGTGGATCGGCTAGTGGCTAAGGCGGACAAAGACAGGTGGCAATGCGCTGCTCTCCGTCAAACACCGGTGCAAGTGTGGGACCATTGCAATGTCCTATCCGATCATCAGGTCTGGACGAGGTATCGCGTCGCGACAGGACAACTCACTTTGTTTCATGCGAGGCGTCCTGGAGACAACAGTTGCCGGAAGCTTCCGGCTTGTCAAGGGTGCGAGGAGACCATGGGGCATCTCTTTTGGGAATGCCCGAGCGCCGCAGCTCTCTGGTACAAACTGGTTGCGCATTGGACTGGGGAGCGGGCATGCCGCCAACGCGCCCTCCACTTCTTTGAGACATGCGTCGGCAGACAAGTCTCCTGACTACCGCCACAACGACGGCGAATTTTAGCCGAGCGGTTCCAGGATCAAGTCGCGAGGGCTGAACGCGTTTGAATGCCCATCTGGCACATACTGTCTACGCACTGTCAAACCAAAATCTGGACAGACAGGAATAATGTTGCCTTCCGGGCGGAGACAATTGATCTGTGTGGGAATACCACCAGCTTCTGGGCTTCGTGCTTACGGCACCTCCGGGCTATCGCGAAAAGAGAGCATCGGAAGGCTAAGACCGCCATATCGAAAGCCATTCTGTATGCATGCATTGTGCTATTGGAGCGCGATACTCGTGAACCACCGGTTCCGAATGGTGACAGCCATCGTCAGGCCCCGGGGCACCCTCCGGAGCTTACAGCCTGGCTTCGGACATACCAGAGATCATGCACATAGGTAACTAACTACCCGTGTAAATCGAGTATCTGAATCCTCCTCAACAGCTCTGCCTTCTGGGGACTCTTGCGATAAAGCCAGGGGACGTTTACCCACTCCGCGTCAAGTTCGTGTCGCATCAACTTGCCGATTGTGGCATGGTGCTTGTCCTCTTTCAGTGACCAAAACGAAAGTCAGATTCAGGTTCAACGAAGACCGAGCGAGTCTCCGTTCGACCGCGCTCAGCCGACATGGCTCAAATGGGCGAGGCCTTTACGCGTGGCGTAAAAGCTGTACTCAATACTCAGGAATTCCTGTCGCTACACATTGACTTCAATCAGAAAGACACGGCAGCCAGTTTGGTAACACACTTCGATCAGCTTTCTTGACACCGGAGAAAATGGAGACATTGATGTCAAGTCGGGCAGGCTACAGCTGTAGTGAACGCACATACGAAACTACGTTGCTAACCCGAACGCGCAGTGGTGGAGTCGTCCGACAAGTCGGCCAAACGAAGAACGCATCAACAGGATCGTTGTCCTGTTCAGCAAAAGTCTGGACAACGGTCGTCTGACTGAAGCAGCACTGAAGTGCACACAACATGCCGGAATCGAAAGCTGAACGGGACAGCAACGTCGCGAAACAACGACTCCTTCTTCACACGATCGCCGGTGCGCCCGAAGGTGTGTAGCCAGTAGCAGCAAACTCCCGAGGACGGTCAAAGTCGTGCGCTGGCGGCACCGCCGAGAACGCCGGGTGCTTGGATATGACAAAGAAGTTGAAGAACGCATTGAGGAACAACAACATGGCGTCCAGAATCGTGAGCCAAAAGTTGCCCATCGACAGCGGCCAAATCGCAATACTATAAACAACAACCACAACAACCACAACAACCACAACATCGTTAGCAAACTCGCGCCTCCACAAGATACCCCCACAAGTCTCAATGCAGTTAAACACACGCAGCAACGCGTCAGCATCTTACAAGACGAGGAACAACGTGCGCGTTTTGTTGCCATACATAAAGCCAAAGTTCGTGCGCAGCACCACGTCCGTCTTCTCGCTGCGCAGCTCAAACGCCAGCAACAGCGCACCAAACAGACTGCAAATAGCACCACCACGCGTCAGTGTCTTCTCTCCCCTCTCTCCCTTCTCTCTCTCTCTCTCTCTCTCTCTCTCTATCTGTCTATCGATCTCTTCTTCCATTACATCCATCGAATCCAATTGCTGTCCGTGTCGTACATGATGTAAATCCCCGCAATGGCCTTCTGGAATGTATCCACTTGGCCACAGCCCCACGCCAGAACCCCAACCGCCACAGTCAGTGCGCCCAGTACCAAATTCACTCGGCGCATCGCTCTGACGATCGTCTGACTGTCGCTCGACTGAATCTGAGCACTGAGGTCGTTCATGAGACCGCTCGAGAGAGCGCACGCGCTGTCCACAGGCGCAGCAAAAGGCGTCGGCGCGCGCGCGACAGACGCGTTGGGGAACGAGTGGCCGCTTGAGGTCATAGGGCGACGGCCGACGATAGAGCGGAGCGACGGAGACGGCGGCGGTGTGTCTGTGCACGAGAGGGCGGCGACTCGGGTCGGCTGGACAGACTCAATTTAGAAACGCGCGCGTTGGGTTTTTAATTGTAGAAACAGCGTCGGGGAGCGATATACTGCTTTTGGTAGCGGGATTATGATGGCGTCGAAGCTGCTCGCGGACGTGTGCGAGATGGTGTTTGTTGTTTTCAACGTTAACCCGAATCCATTCCACCACACCCGACACAACAGCCATTTCCACAACATAATCCGCTGCGCACACACTGCGGCTCCCGCTCGCTATCGTGTGTTTGCGCTTATCCCGACCCTACTAAGTACCCCCCCCCCCCCACACACACATACCCAGTTCCCTCGATCCCGTCCTCCACCTGCCTCGTTCCTAGTGTAGCCATTTCCGCGAACAGCTCCGTCTCTCCATGTCGCACATGCACCACCACAATCAATAGCCGTCCACCCCACTCGTTCTCTCTCTCTCTCTCTCTCTCTCTCGCCACCCGCTCGCCCGCACGGCCGCCCCACTGCTCCGTCCCATGCCGGACGCGCTGCTCGGCACCAGCAGCCACCGCTGCCTCCCGTCGTCGGCCACCGCCGCCTCCAAGCGCAGCAAACTCGAGCGCAAGAAGGCGCGTCTGAACCGCCGCCAACTCGCCGCCGCCGCCGAGCAGACCGCGCGCGCCGCCGAAGCCGAAGCCGCGCGGATCGCCGCCGTCCGCTGCAGTCGCCTGCGCCGGCTCCCGCCCTGGCTGCCCGCGCTGCCGTCGACCAACGAGCGCGACGCAGCGGTCCTCCGACGCCTCAACGACGCGGCACTGCCGCTGGAGCTCCGTCTCGGCGACGAGATGCTGCGCTACTGCGTCTACACCGAGCACGTGGTGGCCGCCGCGCGGCGGTCGATTGACGCGGCCATTGCGCACATTGCCGACGGCGTGCGCGCGCTGTGGCCGCACGCGTCGGTCGCGTGCTTTGGCTCGTACTACACCGACCTGTGGCTGCCGTCGAGCGACGTGGACGTGGTGGTCATGGGGCTGTCGAACGCTGCGGACCGCGACGTGCCCACGCAGTTTGTGCCGGACGGCGTGCGCGAGCTCGAGCGCCTGGCGACCCAACTGCGGCCGCAGAAGACGTGGGTCCAGCGGGTCGACGTCGTCCGCGGCGCCAAAGTGCCCGTGGCCAAGCTGAGCCTGCGGCGCGGGAGTCCGCGCGACGGCGAGACGCTCGTGTCGCTGCGGGTCGACATCTCGATCGAGAACGTCCAGACGTGTTACGGCATGGAAGCGAGCAAGCTGGTGCGGCAGTACGTGCACGAGCTGCCGCGCTTGAAGCCGCTGCTCATGGTCTTGCGGCAGATGCTGCGCGAGAAGGCTCTCAACAGCGCGTTCACGGGCGGCTTGAGCTCGTACGCGGTGGCGCTGCTGGCGGTGTTTCTGGTCGAGGCGTCGGACAGTGACGACGGAGGCGACTCGGGGCGGACGCGACGGGGACCGAGCGAGACGCTGCGGGAACGAGAAGCACAGGAGCTCGGCCACCTCTTGCTCGGGTTCCTCGAGTACTACGGCACGGCGTTCGACTACTACTCGACGGGGCTGTCGCTCAAGCCCGAGGCGTTTGGCGCGTACCCGCTGGCTGCGAACTTGTCGATCGCGAATGGTTTGCCCCTCATGCCGCAGCTCATTATTGACGACCCCGTGTACAAGAACGGACAGCACAATGCAGCCGCCGGCGCGTTTGCGCTCGCGCGTGTCGTGGCGGCGTTCGAGAATTGCTACTTTGCGCTGCGGTATCATCGCCCGACGCAGTTTACGCCAACGCCGCTGTGTCAGCTGCTGCACTGGTCGGGCCACACTGTAAATAACCCTTCAGTCGCTGCGTACTCCACGTCGAAGGAGTAGCGCGGGAGCATTGCGGTTGATGCTGACACAAGTCGACAAGAGGGACCAGCGATGATGTGGAAGGAGACTGAGTGGACCAGTTGCAGTTTTGCAACACCAACAGTCCTGTCCATCTCGTGCAGCAGCGGGAACAACTACCAGTAGTACGTAGCTATCTATAGGCAATAGAGACAAAGATCAACAGTCAGTGCAGAGCAGCAGCAGCATCGTATGTCATCATCACCACACGTCCATTTCCAACTGCTTTCACTGAAGGTGCACGCGAAAGCTGGCGCACGTCACGTGGGCCAACAGCGCTCTAGCTACTGATCTCTTCGGTATCGACCACCGTCCGCTGTTCTTCCAGAAGCTGCTGCTGACGCTCAATCTCTTCGTAATCAATGTTCGCCAGGATGTAAATGATGAGCAGCGAGACGACCGTCATCTTGACGAGCTGACGCACGTCCTTGAGCGTGAGCGCGCGCATTGACGCGAGGAAGATCTTGGGCGCAAACACCAGCAAGCACAGCTGGTCCCAGACAAACGCACCCAGCACTTCGAGAGTGAGCAGTCCAGTGAGAATGCGCGTGAAGCGCGGGTCCGGCATGGGCACGATCTGCAGCACCTTGTTAAACAGCGGCATGCGCTCCGTGCACAGCAAAAACACGCCGACGATACTGATGCCGAGCGAGTACAAGAGACCTGGGTTCTCCGTCATGGGTTTCATAAATGGCCGACCCTTGTAATTCACAGCGCACACACTCACCGTCTGCACGCCGTTGATGAGGAAGATGACCGTGCTCAGCACATTCGGCTGAAACTCACCAGGCTTCGAGTGCGTCGTGTCGCCTTCGGGCGTGTACTCTTTGGCGAGGTTCGTGAGGTAGATCATGCAGCCAAGATGAAGCGCGAACTGGCCGGCAAGACTTGAAAAGAGCGCCGGGTGGAAGATCGACGTCAGCGGGCGCACAGGCGACAAGTTGTCCAGCGGCGTCGCGCGACTCAACGTGACACTGGCCACCGTAGAAATCATGCCCAGTGCCATCATCTGTGAGTTCGCCCACTTGACCTTGTCGAGGTACAGCACCGATAGCGAGTACGAGCTGATAAGGCAGTTCACGGCCAGGATCTGGTACATTTGCATAGTCGTTACGAGTGCGCAACGACCCTGGCGAATAATGTCAACGCAGCCCTTGATCGAAGGAGCGCGAGACGTGAACGGGGAAGCAATCGACGCGTCGCCAAGTTTCACCATCGGCACCTCACCATCATCAAAGTCGTCCATATACTGCGCCATAGCAGCGTTGTTTGCAAAATTTGCAAACCCCTTGGAGCCCGTGCGTTCCAGCTGCAGCTTCTTCTTTTCTTCGGCTTCACGCTTGGCAAATGCCGCGATTGCCTTCATCCGTGCAAACGACTCACCACGGGCCTGGCGCGCGCGCACGTCAGCCTCCAGCAGTTCCTGCTTTCTCTTCATCTCCTCTCTTTGCTCCTCCTTACTAAGAACCTTTAGCTTCGGATTTTTGCTCACCATAGCCTGCTGCTTTTTCTTGATAGCCTCCATTGTCTTCTTTTTCTGCTCGCTGAGAATCAGCTCGACATAGTCTTGCTTTACCTTGCACTGCGACGCGTTCACATTTTGCTGAACTAGTCGCTTCTTCAGCGCCGACACATGCAGCTTCATCAGATCTTCGCGCGTACTCACAGTGGCGACGTTACCTTTCTGGTACTTTGCCAGACCAGTCACGCTCTTGTCAGCATTCGCCGATCCGAATCCGCCAAGCAGAGCCACACCAATATGCGCCTGCTTTAACGCCCCCACATCGTTGCCACCGTCACCGCACATGAGAGTATGGTGGCCGTGCGTCTTCAGCAACGTCAGCACCTTCTCTTTCAGTTCAGGCGTCATCCGAGCATACACACGAATGTGGCTCAGGTTCTTCCAGATCATATCATCGACCTCGCCTGCAGCAATGAGCGTCTTGCCGTTCACACACAAATCGTACTTCTTGACCAGAACCTGAACATCTCCACTCTTATACGGCGCTATAACTGAGTCATCGGCAGCACTCGTCCACTTGAGAGGGTCGCTAGACGACGAGCTCTCGCTCAGAATAAGCGCAGGTCGAGTGATTATGCCCACTTCCTTCGACACGTGAACAGCCGTCAGTGTTGCGTCGCCAGTGATCATCGAAACCGAGTGCGAGCTTTCTTTTAGCACCTTCAAAATGCTGCCACTGTCCTTGCGGACCAAACACTGGAACACGGCAAAACCGGCAAAACGTAAATCACTCTCGGCCCACGCGCGCGATTGTTGGGCAACCTCCATCTCAGACGGACGCCCGCTGATGTCCTTGTAAGCGAGAGCGAGCACACGCATTCCACGGCGGGCAAGACTTTGATAAGTCGGCCAGTACCATTCCGGTATGCACTCAGAGCGCACCAACTTTGCGACCGCCTCAGGACTCCCCTTTACAAGCGAGCGCACATGCACACCCTTTTCACCCGAATTCACCTTAGCAACAACGCTCATTCGTTGCAGCTTCGATGCAAAGTGGTTGCGGTGCATGATTTGCACGGAAACCTCCTTCTGGTTGATCCCGTGACCCCAGCGACGCTCACTCGCACGCTCCATATCTTTCTTTGCCTGGCACTGACGAGTGACCGCATCGTACGAAAAGTCAATGGCCCGGATAGAAGCCTCTTCCACCGGATCACCAACCATCTTGCCGTCTATCTGAACCAGCGACTGACAGCCAGCAAGCACTAACGTAGCGTCCAGGTTGGCCGCAATCATCGGCACGTGACCAAGCACCTTTTCTTTCGAGACGGCAGAACTAGGTGTGGTAGCATCTTCGCAAACGACGCCGACCGCTGTCAGTTGGTCAGTAGTAAGAGTGCCTGTTTTGTCAAACAAGCAAATGTCCACTTTGCCGGCTAGCGAGATTCGGAAAGGCTCGGTACAAAAAATTGACAGCTTCACCAGATTCAGCAAAGCCGAATTCACCGCCATGGCTGTCTGCATAGGTAGCTCAGCCGGAATGACGCTGGTGATAATAAGCACACACCGCAGCAGCAGCTCGAACGTAATCTTGCCCTTCTGCGCAATACCGTGGCGAAGCACGTACCCCGAAGAGAGCAGGGCGAAGATCAAAAGCAAAAGCGCGAGGCCGTAGGCATCCCACGAGCTTCCTGTAACCTTGCCACTTGAGAACTCGATCATGCGTACCAGCTTGCCCTGCGAAGAGCTAAATCCCGTGCGCAACACATATGCAGTACAGCCTTTGTCGGGTGCGTGGGGGATGCGCTGACTCATGGCCCCGGGCTGCCCTTCGCTGGAGGTGCCTGCCTGCATCACAGTAGTACCACCGAACAACACGTGCACCTTGTGGCCGGACTTCATGTCAAGCTGCTCAGCGAGATCCTCAGAACTCATCTTTGTGCCGATAGCCTCTTTCATCTGTGGCACGCTCTCGCCCGTCAAAGTGGCTTCGTTGAGAACCGCCGATCCATCCAGCAGCAAGCAATCACAAGGCACCATGTTGTCATGATCCCCATCCGTCTCACGTTTGACCGAAATAACATCGCCGGGCACCAGCAAATCCGAGTTCAACTTCTTCCAGGTCTTTTCACGGTACACGTACACCTCGCGCGTCTTGTTACCCATACCGCGTAGCGTCTGCAAGTTTTTCAAACGACTCATGACCGTAACGCCTTCGAACATGAGAATCATGCCCAGCGTGAACAGCGAGTACTGCCAGTACTCGTCAAGCATGTAGAGGCAGACGCTAAAGATCTGAAAAACGGTAAGCGGCTCTATCAGCTGCTGCTTGAACATGTCGACAAAGTTTGGCTGCGGAATGCTGAACTCGTTTTTCCCATACAAATCCAGCTGCATCTCGGCCTCCCGCTCCGAATTGAGACCACCCGAATCCAGATAAAACTTCACCGGTTCAGTGGTAGGAGCCTTTACTTTTCGAAAGAGCACGGCACCCTTGCCGCCTGCTTCTTCTTCTGCAACGTACTTGTGCTTCTGAAAGAGAAAGTGCGGGCGTCCTGCCAACGTACCGTCCGCATGCATGGGCCGCGTGATCTCAATAATGCTACTCTTGCCCTTGAAGGAGCGTGGCACTACCATCACATACGTCGCATCCTCGAAACGGGTCACGGGTGCGTACTTGATCCAAGCCTTTACACGCACCGACCAAATCTGGAACAGCACCAGAAGGCCGTGGGCCATGATCGTTCCTAAAAGATACAGCAACGGCACCACACCAGGCAAAAAAGGGTTCGGCAGTGGCGGACCGTCTTCGTCGGGCTCTGTATACTTGGCGGTAAACTCAGCCGCGCCGTCGCGCACAGCTCCCTGAGCCAGCATAGCAGCAGCAAGGCCGCCGTCGCCTCCCGTCATAGTGACGCCACCTCCAGTCCCGAGCTCCGGTCGCTCTCGTTCCTTCATCGCTTGAGCGTACGGCTCACCGACCGTGAGGTAGCAGTGGTAGAGCGAGAACGCGTAGAGCACAGCAAAGAACAGGTGCTCAGGTCCGTAGCCGAACTGGACAACGCTCGTGCGGCGTTTGTGCAGCGACAGCGATCGAATGGCGCGCCCCGTCCAGCGCGGAGGCGCATCGGGTTTCCCCATGATAGTTGTCCTCTACGTATGCTGCAGTAGAAACACACACAAAGACGTACAGACAGACACACAAAGATCGACAGACAGACACATAGAGACACAGACAGACACGGACATGACGACATGTGTGAGACACCAACGAACAGGTAGCGACGAGTGGACGTCTTGCGCGCGACGCACCGGACGAGTGTCGAGTGGGGAAATGCGGTCTTCGCGCACTTATACGGGCGACACAATCGTGTGGCTGACACGAATGGTGCGGTCAATCACGACGGGCAGATGGACTGTGGCTTCAGTGTTTTTTTTTCGCCAATCGGAGACGGAGTGGATCTGGAATCAGATCGAGGGCGGTACGATGTTTGCAGCACGGGGTGTTGTAAAAGCGCTTTTATGTTGTTCACACACAGCGGCGATGAAATGCTTGAAGTAGCGACTGTCTTTGGTAATCGAGCAGTGAATCGGATTGCACCACAGTTTGTATTTGGAACTGATGGATACGACTGCGACCTGTGGACGTTCAAGTTGGTTTGAGCGAGTAAAAGGTGCTCAGACGTCACACGACTGCTGCTGTTCTTTTCCAATTTGTTAGCAACCCCGCGTTGTGAACCGCTTCGGTGGGTGTGTCACATCGTCAGCCATAAGATCTTTTCGCACCTTGAGCAAGTCTCGTCAGCATCGAGCGACACTGCAGCGTTCGATGACTGGAGGTTGTTGCAAAACATCAGGCGACATTTAACACACTCATTCACTACCTGCGCTTTGGTATACCGCCGTGTCAATGTCGTGCGAAGAGGACGGGCCACACTTTCATTTCGCACCTATCGTTCGAGCAATGCTTCGTTCTTCTTGAAGCCATCCTGTACCAGACTTGGCCTAGCAAGCCAGCGGCAACGCCTGGTAGAACAAGCCCTACTTGGAATTGACGAAATATCTTAACATGGTACACTAAAACTACGACACATGGCCAGAGAGACTGCGGGCGACCACACTTATTCGCAACGCCCAACGTGCCAGTGGGTCGATTACACATTGAGTCCGTGGAAACTCCACACTTCGACGGTCTCGCACCGAAACGTTTGGTAGTCGACAAGTGGCGGGGAGTCGAACGTAGAACAGGCGTGCGTGAAGCCGCGCCGGTCATCGAGCTGCAAACATAGCGCGATCCCCTTGCTGCCCCCGCCCACGAATATCGAGTCGCGATGTGTGTACATGAACGAGCTGTCGATCCCCGACCATGGGTGCACGCGCATACGGGGGCTCAGCGAAACGACAAACGTTCGTCCGTTGCCGAAGAACCTCTTTGACCGCCTCCACGACGCTGAACAAAAGGCGCCAAAGATGTTTTCGTGCTCATCCTGTACCACAACGATCGTCGGACCCTTGCTCTCGAGTCTCGAGAAGAAACTCAAGAAGCTCCAGCCATGCACTTGCGTGGTATAGATCAGCTCCATCTGGTTGCATGTGAGATACTTCGGCAGGCTTTTCCACAGAAATTGCATGTGCTTTTCTGTGAGAAACGCAGACCGGTGGCCTGCCAAAGGCCGACCTTCCACGGGGTTGCCGCTACCAGCCCACAGCTTGAACCGATCCAGCGCTCCAATCTTCGCTGCAAAGGCTCTGAACTCTTTTGCACGCTCGTTGTTCGCGTTGTCAGCGGCAGACGACGTTTTCGACAAGAGATTATCGGTAGGTTCTGGTTCAACGAAACTTTGCGACACGAGAAGAGCAGGCTGACACCTCTTTCTCGCGCTCGATACCGACGTCTTCTTCTTGTACTCAGCTGACGGAGGGAACATGGAGCTCGCGACGGACTGCGACGACATATCCTTTTTCGTGCTGTGGCATTTGGCCAAGTACTTTCGATACGTCACAGGACGGCGGAAGCGTAGCGTGACAGGAGCTTGCAACTCTGCAATGGCATCGATAACGTCGTCGGGCGCTAGACGCGATATCGATGAGTAGCCATTGATTGCCATGACCACATCACCCACTTGCACCGTTGGCGCGTGCTGCTCGGGGTCGTACACTTCCACCGTCCCGTACAGCCTTGTCGACGGTGCTAACATCAAATGCAGCGGTGTCTTGTCAAACGTCACGTCGAACTCTCCTACCTCCGACACATCGGCTCCCGCGATGCCTTTTCCTTCAGCGTCCACGCCACTCACGATCACGGCACTCTCAGACCCCCGGAAGGACATGGCGTCACCTGCTTCGCCAACCGATAACGCTCGATGACTATGACTTGCGTCCGAGTCGTTCTTCACCAACAGCGTTCGCGCCAGATTCCGTGACGGCTCTTTCTTGGTTAGCTCGGCATTATATGCCAAGTCATGCTCCAACGACCGTTGCCATTGCTTGGCCGAAGCTCTCGCTACGACTTTGGTCGAATAACAATGCAGAGAGTAGTCCATCGACGACGGGTACATGGCCGTGGACATCACCCGCGAATCGTGTGCGCCAAACACGTCCGGATCCCGAAACGTCATGACAATAGGACACGAGCACTGCCGCAAGTACGCCGCCAAGTCCGCACGCGGTAGCTGCGCCTTCTCACAGCTAAAGTTGATCGCAATCAGCACATGCCCCTTGGCAATTGCTTCTCCGTCCCGACCGCGTCGGTCGTTCTCTCTCGACAGCGACGTACGGGCGTCGCCCTCTTCGTCCTCCTCCGTCTCCTGCACCGAACTCACCTCCCACGAGCCATAGAGCTGAGAACTCGGCACGAGCCCTACGCCCAGTGGCTTGCGGTGGAAACACACATTGTACTCGCCTTCGAGGCGCTTGGCCACGTACGGAGCCGCGCTCGTCTCGCTCTTGTTCACGCACCTGCTACTGCTGCAGCGTCGGTCAGCGTTGGTGGTGCGAAGCTTTGTGTGCCTCGGCGCTGACGGTACCGGGCGCGGGTCCTCGAACATCGCACGCACGAGGCCGCGCATGTTCACCATTGCGTTGGGGCGGTGCACTACCGGCTACGAGATGCACCGCGACGGGGTACGCGTCTTCTCCTGTGACAGCTCTGTGGTCGCTGGGGCAAAAGATAAAGTGACGACCGAAAAACTGATTATTCGTATCGTTTTTGCGATTATTATTGTTGATGTTGGCTTTTTGTGGGGAGATGGGGGGGGGGGTCTGGTCGACGAGCACACGCACGACATTCCTGTGTGGGGGTTCGTCCGTTACTCACTCGCGTGTGCAACGTTACCGCGTGTTGGTCACTTTGATTCGCGCGCTGATGAGGTTCGTGACAAAGTTGCACCACTGGTGTCGTTCGACTCGTTTGAGCAAAAGTAAACGTGGACATGTCGAGAAAGTTGGACTACGCACACGTGTTGTGCGCATACAAAAAGCAAGGGAACAGCCACAAGTGGGTCGGTCGACAAAAGAGGACGACGACGATTGTCAATGTTTGGAAAGCGCGAAGGCGATACACGTCAGCGAGACATGAAGGTGGACGAAGAGAAGCGGACTTTGGCTCAACACGTCCACGAGAAACGTCACGTTCGACCTCGTCACTTTTCTCAGGTTTTGCTGTTGCCAAAAGCGAAACACCGCACCTCTCTTGGAAGTTCCTGCTCGCCCATCCGTCGGCCAACGCCTTCTGACACCCAGCACTCTCTCGCTCTCTCTTTGTCTTTCTTTCTCTCGTAGTGCTGCTACATTTTTCTTGCGACGTTTTCCGATATGCAGCCGTTTCTTCGGAGACGCATTGCATCAACGCTTTCCGCGACCCACCACTTTATCTGAGTCACCTTCCCGTCTTCCAATACCCAGCACTTTCCTAAATATGGGAGCTGCTGTCTCAGTGTCTGGATGCGTCTTGGCAACGGTTTCTACCCAGCACCACCACCGATCGAGGCTTCACCGTCTCGTGTAGCGTCTTTTGGCGTGCATTTCAAACGGCAGAGCAACTTTCATGGAAGTGTTCCGACAAAAGCCGGTGACCATTTTACCATTGTAAAGATGCCGTCAAGCGCATGACGCAGGGGCACTTGTTCTTGCAAAGCCAGGCGTCGGTATCTACACGACACGTTCAGTTTCCACGTGCGGTGGTGAAGCACAGATCCGAGCTGCATTGATGTACGAAGTGGATATCCGTGCAGTCCGAATCACAGAGCTACTTCCAGCCCATGATCTGCGTGCACACATTCTGACTAAACTAGCTGCGTTTCGAGATTACCGGGCTAGCTGTACCGAGCTGCAATGCCATGTCACGACAATCTCCATGATCACGGCATATCGCAGTGCTTGCGGTGCTCTAAACGGATTGCTGGCTCGGCAACCGACGCCTCTTTTGCGCAGAGCGTCTGTGCTCTCTTATCGATCCAAAGAAGTTGGGTCGGCCGACTCCCTGTGCTCCAGTAGCATTGTGTGTGTCCCTGTACTCGTTGAACGAGTGAGTTTGCGTCGATGCAAAGTCTTCTAGCATCAAGCAGACTTTGCATCGACGTCAACCCACAACGTTAGTACACGGACGGGCCTTTGTCGTGGTAGATCGTTCCCGCCGAAGTAGTAAATGGGGCTGAGCCCACGATTTATTGTCCGAGTGCACAACACATGGGCCGGTAGGTTACGAACGCTCATTACTAAGCGCGTGTGTCAGCTGACGTGCGTACACGGTCGTCGCACTGCCTTCTATGCGTTCTGCACTCCCTTTCCGTTCATGACGACAGGAGCACGTATAAAGCCATACGAGGCCTTAAGAACATTATGGACAGTCCGGTAGCCCGCTGATGAGCTGCGAGTCTCCTCGTTGCATCTCGCTGAGCGGTGGCTGCACTGAGACTGTGGTGGCAGCACTCAGAATGGTCAACGACACTAGCGAGCGAGACAAGCAGAGACTGTCGTACTCGTCCTGTCAATGGTGGCTTCCTACGACACGAAGTCCTCTCCATGTCGCCAATGACGGCCGAGCAAGGGTCAAGACGTGTGTGAAGCAAAAACTTGTGGCTAGTGCAGCTTCTGTACCACTGCAGCTGATAGACGTCTGCGTCTTTCGTATGCAGCATTAGACGAGCTGCTGGTTTGCTGTGCTTTTCCGTATCGTGGATTGTTTCGTCAACGAGAAATGGGCGACGATAGGTATGCCCGGACATGCAAGTCACGATATGTCCGCTCTTGTTCGCATTTGTTGCGCTTTGCCTGCTCCGCCGTCTCCAAACTCCCAAGTTTAGGCTCAAGGTAAAGAACAACCTGGTCAGTCGTATCGTTGCAGCGACATTCGAGCAATGATATGCTTGCGGACACTCGACAAAGCGAGCAACATGATGGCAATGGCACACGTAACGTCACCCTTAATTTCCGAAGCATGCAGCTGGAATACCACAACAGGGTACAACGACAGGGGTACCGCAACAACAACAGGGTACAACAACGATAGAGTACAACAAGCACAATTTTCGAGCCAACTGCCTCGCAGGGGTACACGCGCACTTAAAACGAGGTGTAATGTCGACCACACCCACCCGGGGGTCGTCGTTTGTCTTGACTTGAGTATGCTGGAATATTCGAGAATAGATACTATGATTTCGCGGCTTTGACTCGGACAAAGCAAAATTTGACTGGGGCTCGCGGCGCGGGGCGGCGACACAGACCATCAGACAGACATATAGACATATAGACTGACCGACTGGTCGACCAATTGACCGACGACAATCCGTCCTCGAGCCACTCCAACCGGTCGTCCACAGTTAACGGACCCATCCAGTCCGCTGCTCTCGCCGCCATGTCCGACGCCGCTGCAGAGGAGTTCAAGTCGCAGGGCAATGAGCTGTACAAGCGCGGGGACTACCAGCGCGCCATCGACAAGTACTCGCAAGCGATCGACGCCGCTCCCACTGTCGTGGCCTACTACGGCAACCGCGCAGCCGCCTCGTTCATGCTGGGCAAGCACAAGGACGTGGTGACGGACTGCAATCGCGCCATTGTGTTCGACCCCATGTACATGAAGGGCTATGTGCGCAAAGCGAAGGCGCAGCTCGCGATGGTGCGTGTGTGGAGCTACTTCGATACGTGTGTTTTGAACCCAAGTTCATAGCTGTTGGGTTCTGTTGAGGTGTTGTTGCTCCGGATGGTGTATAATTTGTGTACGTACTGACGCAAGTGGGTGAATGGCATTCTATTGCTGCTAGGGGGACAATGAAGCCGCTCTCAAGACGTATCAGACGGGACTAATTCGTGACCCGAACAACAGCACGTTGCTGAGTGACAAGCGCACGCTGGAGATGGCGCTGAGTCAGGTGCAGCGTGGCAAGGAGCACCTTGCAGCGGTACGGGCTCGTACTGGTTGACACGGCGCTCGAGTGAGTTTTGTGGTGCTGATTGTTGCGCGTGTTGCTGTGGTTTTGGTCTCGCGATGCAATATCCAGGGCAAGTTCTCGCAAGCTGTGGCCATGTTTGACAGCGCCGCGCAGGTGTGCACGGGCTCCAGTAAGATCAAGCTGCTGCGTGGCGAGGCGCTGATTGGGTGTGAGCGCTACGACGAGGCGTTCGCGGTGCTCACGCAGCTCATGCGCACGGACTCGAGCAGCCCTGAGCTGCTCTTTTTGCGGGCCCGCTGTCTGTACTACCAGGGTGAGTTCCCGAGTGCGATTAAGCACTTACAGCAGGCGCTGCGCTCGGATCCGGACAACAGCAAGTGCATGAAGGAGATTAAGCGAATTCGCAGTTTGGAGACTTGCAAAGAGGAGGCGAACGATGCTTTCAAAGCCGGCAAGATGGCAGAGGCCGTGCAGATGTACACAGAATGTTTGAAAATCGATCCCAAGAACAAGGCGTTCAACTCGAAGATTCACTGCAATCGAGCGAATGCGTTGTCGCGTTTGAATCGACATGACGAGGCCATCAAGGACTGTGACAAGGCCGTCTACTACGACCACGGCTATGCCAAAGCTTACCTTCGCAAGGCTGCTTGTCTGAAGGCCCTTGGCGGTCCGGAAAATCTGGAGCAGGCGCTGCGTGTCTACGACCAAGCTTCGAAACTTGTAGGTGACGATGCTCAGCGTGACATCCAAAACAACATTCGCCAGACCAAGCTAGAGATCAAGAAGGCGAAGCGTAAGGACTACTACAAGATACTGAACGTCGCACAGGGTGCCACGGACGCTGAGATCAAGAAGTCGTACAAGAGGATGGCGTTGAAGTTCCACCCAGATCGTCACGCAGGTAAATCGGAAGAACAGAAAGCTGAGGCCGAAGCAGCTTTCAAGGATGTTGGCGAGGCATATGCCGTGCTGTCAGATGCCCAGAAACGACAGCGCTATGACTCGGGAGTGGATCTCGAAGACCTCGACAGCGACTTTGGCGGAGGTGGCATGGGAGGCGGCATGGGTGGCGTCGACCCCTCGCAGATATTCCAGGTACACTTTGCACTTGTTTGCACGTTGGTGTGCTACTGTGTAATGCTTTTGCTGACTCGTTCATACCATGTAGATGTTCTTTGGCGGTGGCGGCGGTGGCATGGGCGGAATGGGCGGCATGGGCGGCGGCATGGGCGGCCAGCGATACCACTTTGGTTAGAGAGAGAGCTTTGCCGGTCTTGTAGGCGCAGGTGCTGGCGCATAGTGCTTGCATACGACGACGTAACGTGTAAACCCGGCGATTGATATTTGTGCCGTGCTTGACAATAATATGGTGCTTGGAACTTGCAGGAATAGTTGACGGGCAGTTGTTTCGCTCCATGTCGTTGACTCCGTCGCTCGTGCGTAGCGTACTTTAGTGTGTCCACACAATCCATCGACTCCACGTGACCCCCTGCATGGCTTTTGTCCAGTCACGTGATCCCGTGCAGGAGGCTCGCGCCATTGTCCAACATGGCTACACCGCCAGCTGTAGCCATTGCCCGAGCAGCCACCACCACCGAAAGCTCGTCGAAACGTCTCCGCACCAATGCAGTCGGCGGGTCTGTTGACGCAGCCGAGTCGGCATTTGTCAATGCTTACAAGGGCTTCCACGTCCCACACGACCACTTTGCTGTCGAGCGCATTCGTGTGGACAGCGTGACGCCCGAAGAGTTCTTTGCCAAGTTCGTATGCACCCGAACGCCTGTAGTGCTGTGTGGATATCTGCAGGACGAGGCGTTCACTGCTCCATGTAAGTGGTTCGAGTCGAACGACCGTCTGATTCAACTTGCAGGCGACACGAAGCTCACGGTCGAGCGACGGGGCGATGTTCGCGAGCACTTTGGCAAGGGCATTGCAGTGGAGATGGCGTTCCGGGAGTTGCTTCAGCTGATTGCGTCGGGGGACGAACTGCACTACTTGACGACCCAAGAGGTGGCGTCTGAAGACGATGGCCGACCGGAGATCATGGCGCCGTTTATGCAGCAGCTGCAGCAGGACTTTCCCGTGCGTCCGAAGCTCATGGGTCACTTGGTTCCACAGAACATCAACATGTGGATGGGCAACAACAAGCAGGGATCATCCACGGGGCTGCATCACGACTACCATGACAACCTGTACGTCTTGATGCGTGGCAAGAAGCGCTTTCGTCTGTACTCACCTGCAGACGCGGAAAAGATGTACGTGCGTGGCCAGATGGCGCACGTGCACCCAAACGGTCTGATCAATTACGTGGAAAGGGTCACGACACCCTATGGTGCTGATCCAGCAGCAGAACGAGAGGCACTTGCTGCAATGGTGAAAGACGAGGCAGAACGTGAGTTGGCTGACGCTGAACGTGCAGTGGAAGCTGGTGAAGCGGGCGCTGAGGCCCGCCGTGAAGCAGCTGAGGAGCGGCTGGAAAAAGCGTTGTTTGGGATGCTGCAAGCGCACGCTAGCGACGATGAAGACGACGAGGAGTTTGAAAATGGAGCTTTTTCGTTCGAGGAGAGCGACGCTGAAGGAAATGACGACGAGAGCGAAGAAAGTGGTGAGCTGGATGAGGTTGCAGCTGACCCTCCTAGCGACGAAAAAGAGAGCAAGAACAATGCCAAGCGGGATGTTTGCGAGAAGGACGTTACATACCCCGTGAGCTTTAGCCGTGTGGACACATTTCAGTTGCGCGATGGCAAACAGGCGCAGCAAGAGCTGCTGCAAGCAGATTTTCCCAAGTTCTGTCAAGCGAAATGTGCCTCGTGTGATTTAGAGGCGGGGGAGATTCTGTACCTGCCTGCTTCATGGTTTCACGAGGTGGAGTCCTTCGGCTCTGCGCAGGGTAACGGCCACCTGGCTTTGAACTATTGGTTCCACCCGCCTGACCAGCTTTCGGCCGAGCACTTTGCTTCACCGTACTCATCGCCCTTCTGGCAGCGTGACTGGGAACAGCGTTTCCATTCAGACAATTAAATAGTTTGGAGGACAGTACGGATCTCCGATCCTTGTACTACCAGCCTCAGGGCCGTGTGTCGAAAGTCAGAATCATGAGTCTATAGAGCTCATTCGTATGAGATGGGTCTGCCTATGCTTGCAATCGTCAGCTGAAGATTGCAATGTGAAAGACGAGATTGCCTCAACTACAAAGCGGAACCAGAGGACGGGTATAGCTGTAACTATACTCGTGTTTTGCGCTTCGCTTATGGAGGGGAGGTCGGCAGGTGTAGTCAACTAGCAGTGGTCATGCACGACCGACGTCCTCGTTCCACCGTAGCTGATGAAGCTGAAATTCCAGAGTCACCTTTGCAGCGCATGGGCTTCGGTCACGAGCCTGGATGCCCCGTGTTGGCTACAATGCCAGGAGCACAACGTCAAGAATAGCCAGATATGTGTTACGGTCTGTGGCCTTCAACTTCAGCAACAATCTCTCTTTTGTTCATCGCCCATCATTCATCACTTGTCACGAGCGTCTCACTCAGTCTGTCACTCTGAAGACATCTGTCAATACAGCTGCTACTGTTTGTACCCATTGACTCGTGTATGGTCGCCACCGTCATGGCTTCACGGCGTAGTGAATGACCGCAGCAACAACGCAGTTCGAGTATAGAGACACTTACATTGGCGCGTACAGCTAAAAGGTTGTGGCAAAGATCGGAAAGAATTTCAGAGTGAAAGGCTTTGCTAATCGCTATGGCGTTGCTCTCGGCCATGAGGAAGCTGGCGGATGGGATGATGCCGAGGAAAAAGAGGCGTCGATCTCTACTCCTCTTCGTGGAAAGGCATCAGCTTACATGATCTAAGGTCCGAGGCTGTTTGTCATTGGCGACAATTGGTGACAAAAAGAGTCAGAAGCGCCCCTAGCGAACGATTGATCACAATCAGAAGCGATGGAGACGGTTGAGCCAGAATCGCTCTGACTCGAAGAGAGTAGGATAGTAATGACTCTAAGGAGAGGGCGAGAGTGGTACTCCTATCAGAGCCAGAGCAAGTTAAGATATATCGAATTGACGGTCTTCTTGTATGTGTCGATGGTAGTAGACGCTTGTCGCTTGTTGACACTAACGCTTCGATGTTGTTGACCACAGCGTTGATTGTTGTCCATTTTCGATACGGCATACAATATCTACGAAATTGTAAAGAGTAAAGCATGACGATACAGCAGAAGCTACAGCGCAAGTGAATGCAGTAGCAATGATTAGAGCTGTACTTGATACATTGCTGAACAATGTGCTCGACTCTGAGGAGACTCGGTACTCGAAAACGAGAGGGTGTCGTACACTCGTGCAGTTACGATTACGCATACGGATCCTGCAGGCCACACAAGCACTTCTAGTCGGCTGTAATAAGCCGTTTCCATAGACCTGAACGAGCTGCTCCAGTCGGAGTAGCATACTATGGCTATCGGAGGCAGATACAGAAAGCTGAAACACATGGCAGAACAAAGAACAAGAAGGACTGATATAGTGCACATCAGCTGTCGCCGTCTCTGTCGTCAACTTACCAACCTCATAGTGTCACACGTTTCCAGACGCGCTCAGCTGAAGCGTTAGACGCGTGCGAAGAGAGCACGGGTTTTGCACCTTGTTCTTTCCCTACAAGAAGCCATTCGATTCGTATGAGCCTCAAACCACGTAGCACGACGACCCGTTCCGCAAATCGAACCTGTTGAGTCAAGAGCACCTTTGGCTTGATAGGACTGTTCTCCATAGCGAGGTCAACCTGAGTCTTTGGTCGCTTCATTGCCTGCTCCACCTGCACGCGTTCCGACAAACGCCATGTTAGCAGGAAGCCCGGCGTCTCACGAGCCATCCTCACTAGCAGAAAACGTACAATGTCAATGGTCTCGGTCGTCTGGCTCGTGGTTTGCGACAGCTTCGCACTTGTAACAGCAATCGAAGACGCCGCCTAGCACGTGCATACAACACAGCCTTCATGTCAATCGACCATCGTCTGCACACAGAATCACCACTGCCAACGGTCGCGCGACGCCAACACACCTTGGCATAAACCGTCTCGAGCGTCTTCGTTTGTTCTTGTGTGAGCTCGACATCTGCACTGGCCGTCGATTCTTCTTGTCTATCATACACTCGAGCGCATCAACCACCACATGAGCTTCCCGTGGTCCCTCACAGCTGCGTCACTTGCTGCTCGTTCAACCAACGACAGCCAAGCACGTACGTCACGAGCACATTTGCGCAGCGCTTGCGAGCGTTTGCCAGCTCTCGACGCGCACTAGCAGCTGCCATCATCGGCACTTGTTCCTGGAGCTTCTTCACCGCTGCTTCTTTCGCCTTTACTTTTGCCTTGAGCTCCTCGAGCGTCGCAACTAACTGCGCATCCACCGGCGCCATCTCCTCTGTCAGCCATCAACGCCATCAGTCCTGGCTTCATCACCTGACACACTCACACAATACATACACTCTATCCACTCGACTCCATCCACAACTCTATCACCCCATCACCCTATCGGGTGACCCTATCTACCCTATCGGGTGACCCCATCACCCTATCGAGCTTATCCCCCTATCGACCTCATCACCAGACCTCGATGCTCGGGATTGTACTTCCGCAAGGCGGCAGCGAATACCGTCGCGCACAAATCGTTCACATGCGCGCGAAAGATCTGCTGCTGGGCCGCCGACGCCGAGCCGCGCACTTCTTCGAGCGCAGCGGCCATCATCGTGTCACTGCACACGCGCTGCGCCTCTTTGATCTCGACAAACGAATACCGTGGACGCTGCGATCGCGGCGACGACGCCGCAGTCGACGCGCTCGTCTCCTGCCCTCTGTCTGTAGCCATCTCTCTCCCACGCTTTGGTCGACACTCGTCCCGTCGACACACACACAAACCCATTTACTTCACACAGACCTCGAGGAGTCTATATCCCTGTGACATCGCATTCACCTGTCACACTCGATCCCCCGCTCCCCACCGCGCGCCTCCGCTTCAACTGCGCAATCGACAACGGTAGTCCCATCGCGCACGTGACGCTCCACGACGGCACACGACGCCACACGACGCGACGACCGCCATGCGCCGCACCGACGCACCGACCGACGCGGACAACGCGCTGACTTGCGCTTCCCCCTCCCCCGCCGCAGCCGCTTCCGCCGCCATGTCGACGTTCAACCTCCTGGCCACGTCGTCCACTCTGTTCCCGTCGTCGTCGCTGTCGTCGACACCAGCGGCCGCCCCCCACCCGAACAGCAACAACAACAACAGCAACAGCACCAGCACCAGCGCCAGTAGCAGTGGCGTCTTGTTACTGGGCAAACTCATGCGTCGGGACCGCCGCCTGTTCACGTGGAAGTGGCGCGACTTTGTGCTCGAGCGCTCGCGGCTGCAGTACTTTAGCGCCAAAGGCAACCGCAAGGGCGACATTGCGCTGTCGCTGCAGACGCCCATCACCATCCGCATGTGCAGCGACCCGAAGCCCTTTGGCTTCCTCCTGTTCATCAAAGACACGAAGCTCACGCTCGCGGCAGCCACAGAGCGCGAGCGGCGGCAGTGGATCGACGTGTTCTGCGACGTGTTCCACGCCAGCGTCGAGCAAGCGCCGACGGCCACGAAGGCCGAGCGCCGCGCAAGGCCCACGTACCTTCCGATCCCCGACCTCGATGCCGACAGCGACAGTCCCGCCGCGGGCGCAGTGTTTGTGCCGCCCAATAGCTCAGTCGCGAGCGGCGACGGCAGCGACTATGCTGCAGACTGCGGCAACTACTCGACGCCTGTCATGGCGCACAATGTGCTGGACAATGACGACGTGAAGCGCGACTCGTTTGGCGAAGACATGATCCCGATCTTGGAGTCGAGGATGACGTACGGACCGATCAAGGAACTGTTTTCGCGCATTACGTTCCCGCCGAGCTTGGCCAATGGCGACTTGCTGGTAGGCGTGGGGCCCATCGTCCGTCGCGTGGGCTGGACCGATGAACGCATTATGGCCGTCGGCATGTACATTGACCCGGAAGCCGCAACAAGGGAACTGGAAAAATTCAACGGTCGCGTGGCCAAGAGCTTGTACGGCGACCAGCAGTTTTACAACCACCTGCTCTTCCACACGACCTTCCGACGCAGTTTTGTTGTGACTGCACGCAAACGTGTGTCCAAGTCGGTGCTGACCGCACTGCTACGCGATGAGTTGGCCCCGCGCATGGGACCGAACGCTGCCGCGACGAGCACGTTTCTCGGGTTCATTGAAAAGTCGCTGAAGAAAGCCGAGTCTATGGTCATGCGGATACATGAGGACGACCGATTCGAGTATCGACTACGTGGCCAGTTGTATCCGCCGATTGCATCGCACGCACTTTGTAAGTGCATTCAAGCACTCTTTTTCGACAGCAATTCCATTCACCATGACGCAAAACGCGGTCTGATTGAGCGATTGCCATCGCTGTGGGGTGGTGAGGTGCTGGACGTGCACGACGAAATCTTTGGTAGTCTCCACGAACGACTGCAGAACATTGACAGCGAAGACGAAGAAGACACCGAGTCTGACGATGATGACGACGACGACGATGATGATGATGATGAAGACGACAGTGAGGCAGAAGATCTATTTGGAAGTCACAGCAACACAAGTCACCACTCTGGCGAGGATGACGAGCACAAGGAAAACAGTCGCGGTAAGCAAGGCAGGGAACACCCAGTGACTGCGGCTGGTAAACGCAGTCATTTGGAGAGAAATGACTACTCTGATTCATCTGCGATGTACCAGCGACCGTCGACGCAAGACGAATGGGCTGACTATGACGACAAGCAGCTGGAGATGCTGCGACGTCAGAGTCGCAGCCTCATGGTGCATTTTGGCCCGATCATGGACCGAGACAGCAATGTTGTGTTCAGTGGAGACTTGAATGTTGATGGCAGTGCCTTGTTGGGAACATGGTCTCACCAATTTTCAGTGCCTCCAGATGAGCACGATGCGTCTTGTGACTCTCTCCGTCGTCGATTCACGGTCGGATTGTATGTAGATCCAGGCGCGATCAGCGAAAGTCTTCTCAAGTTCAAGGGCCTTTCGATCGGCAGCATCGTGCAGAATACGGACTACTTTCACCAATTCTCGAGCGGTACGTTCCAGAAACATCTTGTGATCAAGGTGGACGCCAAGATGAAGCTTCGGGTACTGCTGAAGTATTTTGACACGCGCCTCCAGTCTCTGGTATCATCGTTTGAAGATGTCAAGAAGCCTTTTGATACTTTGGTGGAACTCTGGGACAGCGCACATCCGCAGGAGCACCACCAGCAAATTGAGCTGACTCCGAAAGACGAAGCTCGTTTCTCTATCGGTCCCGACAAGAAAATGGTTCTGAAGGTGAAAAAGCGTGGTCCGTCCAAGGACGACAAAAGACAAAACCATGCTGTAGCTTCCGGCGCCTTCGTATCATGTCAAAGCGAGGATATCACGGATAGCACCGATTCTGCACCATCAGCGTTTTCCCAAACAGGTACGGCGATGACAGCCAGTGGCAGTGCTCCTTTTGTGGTGAGCATTTCTCGTGGAATCTATGAAATGGAGATAGCACTTCCTGCTCCCCCGTTCCATTTAGCTTTCGAAAGTCTGATATTCGGCTTCCACGCAATTGACCCGTCGGCTCGAACTCAGCTCATGGAGCGCATACCGAATCTCCTCGATCTCGCACCGGACGACCTTGTTCATACGTATCACGATGAGATCCAGGCGTTGCGGGAGAACTACAAGCGCCAGAAGCCAGAGAACCGTGTGAAAGTGGGCTATTTGTCCATCTCGTTTGAAAAGCGCAAGCTGCAAAGGAACACAGAGAAAGGCGGTGCCAAGGAGGTTACGATGGTGCCGTCACGGTGGTCCAAACGCTGGTGCCGGCTAGACGGAACGTTGTTCTCGTACTATTCCCACAAACGATCGCGCAAATATCGGGACATGATGGAACTAACGCGATGTGAGGTTGTAGAGATCACGGCCAACAGCGGTCCTGACGTAGCGCGTTTTGCGTGGGAAAAGGGCGACAGCGACAGTGTTCGCATCGCGGTCATCAAGCCAAACGGCGAGATACTGGCGCTGCGAACCGAAACCATCTACGAAGGCGAAGAGTGGCTCGAATCGCTCACTGATGCCAGCAAAGTGCGGCGGCACGGTGACAGTCCCGACAATTGGGGCGCTTGGGACGCAAACTTCTCACAGCTCCAACGACGGAGCAGTAGCACCCGTGACGCGGCATCGAACCGTGATGATAGAAGCGGTTCGTCGGGTAGTGCTTTGAACGGCGAGCGGCACTCCAATGGCGGACAAGGTGCAGCTGCGAACAAGGGCCATGCAAGCATAGCTGCAGCTAGCACGCTACCACTGGGTCCAGCACATGAAGAAGACAGCGACCGCTTTGATGACGCGGATGTTGACGAGTACGATAGCGACGAGGATCTGGTCGAAAAGGACGGATCGCTGCTTGCATGGATGCAGGAAGATCCTCGTCATGCTATCATTGCATTTTTGCTGGTTTTTATCGTGTACCTTGCATCAATGATGCATCGCGTCCAGCAAGTTCTCGTCGACACGACCGACGTGCCGTGATCTCAGGTCACATCGAATGAACAGCACGACTTGCTGGTGAGACGTATTGCCACTTTGCGCGTTCAAGTGGACTTTGTCGCTTGCATTGAGTTACGGCATCTGGCGGAAGACTCGTTCACGCGTTACAATGTGTCTACACGTCGGCAGTTCCAGGACATGTCACAAAGTCGAAGCTGTTCGAGTGTGTGAGTAGCTCTGCTTTCGAAGCAAGTTGTTGTCGTCGAGGCCGTCGCTGGAATCGCCACCTGGCTCGTATCTTGCGGGTGTGTTCGTTCTCTACGTCCAAGTCTTCACCGTGCGCACTGGACGTCAAGCTTGACTGCAAGTTACGACAGAAACGACGACGACGACATGCTCGATGTAGCTCGATATCAGCCGATGTTTCGTCAAATGTACGACTGCACAAACGATGGATGGAAACATGTTGGAGCTTGTCGGGCGACGAAAGGAAGTCGTTCACCACAGTTCGAGACCGAGACTGGACACGACAGTCGAATGAGTTTCTGGCTGGGACAAACGAATGGCTTCGTAGTGTCGAATGAGTGTTTTGATAGCGGCGTTGCCGAGGGAACGACAGTGTGTAGCGAAGAAATCACCACATGTGCTGATTGACATGGTCGTGCGTCGTGTGTAGCTGTCTGATTGTTTGGAACGAGCTAAATCAGCCTTGGACAAATGACAACATCGATGGTGTGTTCATTGGTTCGTGTATGAACTTGGAGATGTCTACTTCCAAAATAGTTGACGTCAAGACTCTACCACCTCTTGCTGGATGCCGTCAGCCAAGCACATGCTACACGATGTATTTGTCCGAAAGAACCGGATAACTTGGTTGAGGAGCTTACACTTCTCGTTCCGCATCTGGCCAAGCCACAAGAAGCAGACCAAGCCAAGGGTAGTGCGGTCGCGTACATTGGTGGGTCAAGGACGTTGAGGTTTGCTGTAATGGTGAAAGCCACTAGACCTGTAGACGTCTGAGCAGTGTGGTAAGCAACAGGCAAACACGCGAGTTGCGTCGACTGTAACTCATTTGCGTGTACATCACTGTTCAACCTATCGATCGAGTAGCTCCCACCACGATCTTCAGCTCGTTTACTCGCGCGTGCATGCTATGCATGCACGTACGGAAGCCTGCAATTGTCCAGAATGCTATGCAAAGCAGTCAGTCATGCATGAAGACTTGTGTTGCCACGCAGCCATCCAGCTTGTCGAATTCTGGTACTCGTAACTTTTTTCCAGTCCGAAACACGTGGCAAGCTGGAAACTGCCTGCGAACAAGCTAAGCGCTCGTGAAGTCCGTGGTCAGCGTTGACCTGCATGGCAAGATCCAGCTGCAATCTCGCTGCACGTTGTTATCGATACGAGTGAATGTTCCTGGCAAACAACTCGGCGATTCAGTCGCAAGATCAATGACGTTCGTTATCTGATGCCAATGCCTGCACTGTAGTCTCATCTTCTACATGCGGTGGAGTTGTTGCATCCACTGGCATCCCGAACGTGGAAAGTCAAGCAACGCAGAACATCGGTCAACGTCGGGTCGCCGGATGTTCGTCGCCACCCGCATCTTTCGCATCTCAGCGTTAGCCGGTGCATTTCATCGGAGGCATCAAATGCGACAGTATACGTCGTGTAACTGGATCGAATGGCATGTCGTGTTCCGCTTCTCGTCAACCGGGGTCTATTGCACGTTGCTGCTTCCTTCTAGCTATATCGCAAGCAGTCGCGGGAACAGCATCATCGAGCACGTCTTCGATGGGGACGTGAACCGATTCGTATCGCAGTTCCATCACCGGTGCTGATCGAAACGATGCGAGTTACAGATAAACAGCTGCATCACTGCATTACGAGAGCCACGACGAACCTCTTACAGCGCCTTTCGAAAACGCACGAGCTTAAACGAGCTATGCTGCTTCTCCTTGTCCACTTGCTCCACGTATCCAAGTACCCGATAGAGCTGTTGGGCACCTTCCATTGCTCCGATCGTCTCGAGACAAATCTCGTTGAATGCGCCACAAGATACAGCAAAAGCCTCGACCGCGCGCACTAGAGCTGATGCCACACCACGTCGTCGAAGTGTAGGAGCAACACTGAGCCGACAAAGTTCGGCAGTGCAGTTTCCTTCGTCGTCGTTCGCCTGCTGGCCTGGCGATAGTGCCAGCGGCTTCATACCGACACACCCAACGACTTTGGCGTCTACTTCAGCGACCCAAAACCCACTCGTCAGAGCGCCTGCGTTGCTTGGCTGTTGAAATGCTCGGTGTACGTCAAACATGTCTCCGCTGGGACCACACAGACGATTCGCGACAAACTGACGCACAGCACGTGACTCTTTGCCAAAATCGAGATGTGTGCTCTCGAAGAGTGAGCGCACCGCAGCCAAGTCGCTGTGCTGAAATGACCGGATAATCACCACCTCGGATCCCATCTCCTGCTTTGGCTGCGGCGCAACGCTGCCCGTCAGGAGATACCGGTGCTGTTGCGTACGAGGCACGAACCGAGTGATCCACCCACAACTATCCTTCTCTTGATTGTTGCAGTTGTCTGCAAGATAGATGGCGTAATGCGCGTTGCACAGCATCCAATCAGCATACTCGTCGAAAGGCTCGAGCAGTGCCAGCCTGCGCTTCTCCTCTGGAGTCGTGCACGCTGCAAACACTCCATTCATATCGAGCATACAGCAATTCTCCCAGTGACCACGAGCAAGTAGACGTCGACAGTGGTCAGCTGCGGTCTGGTATCCCCGGACGCCGCGCAACGTGCAGCCTTTTACGGCAAAGTATCGCTGAAGCGTCGAGCCAAAAGCACTGGACTCTCCGTCACGCTTCGTGTCTACCGACGCAATGCGCTCGCTGACGTCACTTGCATGGAGTCCAATTGGGTCGTATAGCGCAATGGAGGCGCTCGAGAAAGCCTGACCAAGCCAATGAAGCAGCTCTGTGCCTTTATCTGGCGCCAAGTACGACTACACAAGCACGCACACGAATCAGAAAGTGCACGAGCCATGGACAGTCATCGCAGTACACGCAGTCTGTACCACGACACATTCAGCAAGGATTAACGTCGGCAAGCTCCGATCAACGCCAGCAGCATCCAGCATCGCGCCGAGCTTGTCGATGTCTCCGAGGTCACAAGCAATGATCGCGTACGATGCAGATGGCACGTGACATTGCCATGTCACTGTCTTCTCAGCCAAAGACGCAGCGACACTCAAGTGGGCAACGTCTGTTGGAAAAAGACCTGCGCGTACGTCCGAGTTATTCAGTCGCTCGGCCTTTGCATCAGCAATGGCATCACAGTCCACTTCCGTGAACGCAACGTTGCCAGCAAACTGTCGCGTCGCCAGCAGTCGAAAGAACAGCGTGTCAAATCCAGCACCCAACGACACAATGTTCACTTGAGACAGCGTCGAATCTACACGACCGAAACGGAATCATTACACAACTGCAACAACGAGAAGAAGAAGAAGAAGAAAAAAAACGAGCTACGCAACAGCCGGACGAAAAGCGGCAGGGAACAACGGACCGATTCGTTACGTAACGTACATTGCAACAGGAAGAGCTCGACGCAGCGCGCTACAGCAACGTGTCGCAAGTAGTACCCGCGATGGATCTGCAACGCCAGACACGACAAGCGCGTCACGTTTGCACGGACACGACTCGAGAGCAACAGGGGACAGTTTGACAAAGTACGAGAGGGATGCGGCGCGTGGGTTTGGCCACAAACGAGCGCAGGAACGGGTCGTGGAAGTAGCCAATTGTTGCAGCTGAGCTACAGACACATAGAGAGGGACAGGAACATGACAGACAGACAGACAGACAGACAGACAAGTCGGAACAATGAGCTTTGGGGAGTGTATCTTTTGCTCCTGACGACTCTACAGAGGCGACGGGTACAGCAAAAAAGAGCGCACGGTACAGAGAAAGCAGAGGAGCAGCTACGTGCGCTTACAGTTTGCACTTGGCGGCGTCCAGAGCCGTTTCAGTGACATTATGGTCGCTCGTTCCGCGCCAAATTGACGTCGTGGGTGGTGAGCCCGTCATGTTTGTCAGTTGGTGTGGTGCACGCACTTCGTGCTGGGCATCCGTGGGTACTGACGAGTAATCACGTGCTTTGTACACGACGCAAGATAAACAAAGCAGGTGCCTCGAGGCCACTATGTCGAGGCTTTTGCTTTTCTTCTCTTCCTGCTTGGCGGTAGTCAAAACGCGTGTGAGCGGTATGTCGGTCGCGTCATAGCCGACGCAAAAAAAGGCTGCGGGTACATAGCGGTCTGTGACTGCCATCCGCGTCGCACGCGCTGCGTTCAGTTGTGAAGTCCCTTCGCAAGAACGAAACGACTCACTCGGTACCCGTTCATCAGATGTCGCACGTTAGCGCTCCAGCGCCCGAACTGCGCTGTCGAACCCTCAGCACTCGTCTTCCTCCTCCTCGTTCACTCTCTTTGCCCACAACTACAATAGCGACCGACGTCGTCAAGAGCCCTCATGACCATTATGGACACCAGTAGACGACCACGAAGCACTGCAGTCGTCGATCCTTCTACCACGTTAAACAACAACGCTCAGACGTCGTCACGAGGGCCTCAAGTAGCACATCCCAACCCCTTTGACCACTCACGCTCTGTCATCGCGTACCCCACCGACACAAATGTCACGCAGCAATCCATTGTAGTCGGAGCGTATCACATGACCCATTGTGGGGCACCGCGTACGAGCCGTCAAAGCCAACGCCACGGCATTGTCCGCGACTTGATCGCGTCCATCTGCTTAGCGCTCGGCATTGACGAGCGAAAGCAGCAGAACCGCTTGGCACTGCCAACGTCCGAGTCGACAGCAGCCGACGCGGCCTCTTGTGGACGAGTCCACGCACTCGGCAAGAGCGTTTTGCCACCTGTAGGGCCCAAGGACGTCGGGAAGAAGTGCCTCGTGCTCGATCTCGACGAGACACTGGTGCACTCGTCGTTCCGACCGACTGCTTACCCGCACACTGTTGTGCCGGTGGAAATCGACGGCGCTTCCTACCTCGTGTACATGTGCATGCGACCAGGAGCACAAGAGTTTCTGGTCGAAATGGCACAGTACTTTGAGATTGTCGTGTACACGGCCAGCTTGAGCAAGTACGCAGACCCGCTGTTGGATGCCCTGGACACCGAACGGGTTCTCCGCTACCGCCTCTATCGCGAGCATTGCGTGCAGCACAACGGCGCCTACGTGAAAGACTTGTCCGTGCTACAGCGCGACATGTGCCAGACCATTATAGTCGACAACGCGCCACTGTCGTACACTTTCCACCCTCAGAACGCCATCGGGTGCTCCAGCTTCATCGACGACCCCAAGGACAGGGAGCTCAAGTCCATTTCACGGTTCCTGACCACCGTCCGTAGCGTCAGCGATGTGCGCGAGCACTTGCACATGTGGGATGCCACGTATTGATTGACATGCACACACGCAGCAAAGTGACAGGCAGGAGAGAGAGAGAGAGAGAGAGAGAGAGAGAGAGAGCTGCAGTCTCGAGCAAAGGGACAACGACCGCGAGCTTTGGCGACATCAGTCGCAAAGTGCTTTCGCGTTTCGTCGAGGGCAAGTGAGCAAGGGACATCTTTGCTGGTTCTGCACTTGCACACAGGAGTCAATGTACTTCCCTTCCGCCTGGTCGCATCGCTACTGACGCCTGCAGTCTGTAACGTGGACGTGGGCAGTAGTCAGTTGCTTGGGCTGTCTGTCTGCCTCCAATGCTGTCCAAGTGGTGGCCATGAGGACGCAGGACCTCTTCGATTGCTGAGCCTCATTCATCACACGTAGTTCATTGGTACTACCGACTGACTTTTCTGCGCGACTTTCCAAGTCAGCGACTTCCTCACCGGTAGGACTTTGTGTCGTTACTGCCGTCTGCCGTCGAGACAGCGCCCGTCTCAAAGATGGGGTTCGACACAGTCGTCCTTTGCGTCCACGTGGAATCGCCACACACCTCTGCCTGACGCAGGACCTCACGAAAGGGATTGGCGGCGACGGACCGACCGACCGATGCGCGTTGCGTTCCAGGAGCCACTTCGATGGCCTATCGCTCGTGCAACTAACTCCATGTGGTTCTGTGTACTGAATGGTACACTCGCAGCTGCGCTCCTTCAGTCGCATTCCGTCAAAACAGGTGGCCACAAACAATGACATTACGCGTACGCTCGCGAGCGAAAACACTTCTGCAGCGTTACTTCAGCAATCCCTGTGGTCGCAATGGTAAGTGGTGAGTGGTAACAGCGATCGATAGATGTGGTGTTTGGAGTGATAGATGTGGTGTTTGGAGTGATAGACTTGGGGACTGGCAGCCTACCGACCAACCGTTGCATCGGATATCGATGGACAGAAGTGGTCCGTAGTGGTCACGCCGACAACACCTTCAACGACACGTTGATGGGTAGGAACGCCATCACGACCACCATCACGACCACTACCACTAATATTACACGCTCGAGGCCCGCGATCATCTTCATTCCCCATTCTTGCGTCACGAAAGCAAGCAGCGCTTGTCCACCAGTCATGCGGTATACCTTGACCTCCTTTGTATCCATTGCACTGGCCGGTAGCTCTGCCCAGGGGAGCCACCGCCCGCTCGCACTTTACCGTCGAGACCCGTCGCCACACGACCGGATCAACTGCAGACCGCAGTTGCGTCACGCACTAGTGACAGCTCAGGACGTTCATATGCACGAACTAACGACAGCGCGTCGACAACTGGAGGCGCTGTCGACGCGAGTCCACGCTGAAGTACAGGAGCTCGTTGCAAGGCGCGAAGACGCCCAAAGACAGCTTTACGACCGCCAGTACGAACGCAATTGCGAGTGCGAAAGTGCACAAAGTTCCCTTACTACTGCCACATCAACAGCAGTGCCCGTCCACGCCATCGAGTCGGACGCAAGTGGGACATTGGTCCCGGACAACGCGTCGTGGGCGCTCGAGTCAGTCGAGTCGCGAATGCGTTCAGACAGTCCATTGGCCCACGCAGCTGCAGACCAGCAGCAGACGGGGTCGTTTTTCGCCAGTACACTGTTCGCACTGGCCGTGTTCTTTATGGCAGTCCCCATCGCGTGTCTTCTTGGCTTTGTCTTGCTGTACCGCCGCCGCCGCCGCCAGCGGACAGTGCATACCCACGCCTAAATCAGTAGCTGGTTACATGCTCGATCGCAGTTTTATGTCTGTCTGTCGTGTGTGTGTGTATCCACGGGTCCCTGTGTAACTTAATAAACAACAGGAATAGTTCCTTGTTTGTGTGATTGTTTGTTTGTGGGATTGTTTGTTTGTGGACGTTGGATCAAAACGGTGCTCGATGGCCAAGCGCTCGTCTGGGTCGACCGACGCGGTCGCTCCGTCGCTGGACGACGCGTCGTACAGCCACTTGTTCATGGAAGCACGCACGGTACGGTCCTGTCTATACGGTCGGATACAATGCTGCCGGTACATGTGAGCCACACTGACGCTTTTACACCAATGCCGACGGTGGCGATTGCGTATTTGTGGACGTTGGCACGTGCTTATTTGTGGCTCGTGCTTATTTGTGGCGCTTCGTTCTTGTTTGTGGTCATAGGAGACTTTGCGTATGACCGATATCAATGCGTTTTTCATCTGCAAATTATGCAACGGGTACTTTCGCGATCCGTATACGGCAAAAGAGTGTCTACACACGTGTACGTCATGACCAGAGCGCACGTGTGGGAGCCCGTGAATGGCAGAAGCTGAGTCGAGTCGTACTTTGCACGTTTTCTGTGTGCGTGGACGTGTGCAGTCTGCCACGGATGCGTTCGGGGGTTCTATCTGCACACCACGTCGTGTTCTTGTCCGACGTGCGGCGTGGACTTGGGCGCTAAACCGTGGACCCAGTTCATGTACGTCCACGTCCTGATGTTGTCGACTCATGACTGGATCAGTGCTCATGCTATACCTGCGTGCAGTCCGGATCCAGCACTGAAAGAGCTCTCTGAGAAGTACTTGCCGGACTTTCGTGCCAAAGAAGAAGCAGAGGGTACGGCGGCCACTGCTTTGTGTATCGTTGTGCCGAATGCTTTGCTCATTGTCGATCGAGGGATTATTGTTTTGGTGTTGTTGTTGTTGCTGATGCTGTTGTTGTTGTTGCTGTTGCTGTTGTTGTTGTTCATTGAGTGTAGAGCGAGTGTTCTATGCCAAGTTTGGCATCAAGCGCAAACAGCCCGACGCTCCACACGATGATCACCAGAGTACTTCGAAGTTCCGTCGCCCGCTGTGTCAGTCGCCTGGACACATGATCCAATTCGAGTTGCACCCCCAGCGCGGGTCAGTATGCGTGCGGCTCTGTTATTCGTATCGTGCTCGTGTCGAGCTCAACGGTAACGGTACTTGGTGGTCGTGGTTGTGGTGCTATTTTCAGTCCCGACGTACCTCTGTTTTTGCTCCTGGGTGAGCTGAAGGCCCCGTGCATGAACACGCAGTCGTCTTTCAAGGTAAGACTCATCGTTTGCTCGACTTGGCATCGCACGTGATTGAACTGCGATGTTGTCTGGTGGGTGCGATCAGGTTATGTATCTGCGCAAGTACTTGGCCAAGAAGCTGAAGGTCTTGAAGCCCGAAGAGATTGAGATTCTGTGCAACGGCATGGTTGTGGGTCCGGAGTATTCCCTCGAGTTTGTCCGACGCACGCTTTGGAAAGAGGACTCGAAGATGATCCTGGAATACCGACGCCAACTCGTTGCCTAGTCGGGTGAAATCGAGTGGGGGGGTGTCTGCGACATTGGGTGCAGTGAGTGCCATTCGGACGTCAAATCTGCAAGATCCTGACTAGTAGATGCCGTCTACATACTCACTAAGCACCAATGACAGATCCGCGCTTTGGTGGTAATAATGCTGTTGTGGTGTGGAAGTAGTCACATCGACACGAGCTGCATCGGCCTGTTTGACTCCCGTGCATTTGACGAGGAGGTGAAGACAAATGACGTGAAGGCGCACCTCCCCTCGATATCTCAACCATTGCAGCCCATGAGAGTATGTCACGTATATTTCACTACAAGCGCTGCCGAACAAGAATCGAACATCAGCTTCTGACTATTTCGATACGTTATAAATCATCCTACATCTTTCGAAACAAAGTCCTCACGCTGCAATACTAACGCTGTGAAAGAAACGCTTTCGCAAGAAAGCAATCGTCGTCCTCCAAATAAATCTCGATAAAAAATGTCGTTGACTATATTAGATGCCGTTCAGTGCTTTCCTATGAATTCTGATCTCTTGTTGCTTTGGCCGACGCAAAGAACTTCGCCATCACTATCGTCGCAAACTACAACCGTAGCTTAGTCCACCTCTTCGATCTTGGGACCCTGGTCTGCGCCTCCAGCAGGCGGGGCACCGGCCCCTGGCATACCACCGGGCATACCACCGGGCATACCACCGGGCATTCCTCCAGGCATACCGCCAGGCATACCACCGGCTCCAGGAGCGCCACCCGCCGCAGCGTACATCTTCTGCAAGATCGGGTTGGCCACGCCCTCGACCTCCTTCTGCTTGGCCTCGTACTCCTCCTTCTCGGCCGACTGGTTCGCGTCGAGCCAGTTGATCGTCTCCGTCACCTTGTCCTCGATCGCCTTCTTGTCGTCCTCCGAGATCTGATCCTTCAGCTTCTCGTCGTTCAGCGTGTTGCGCAAGTTGTACGCGTAGTTCTCCAGCGCGTTCTTCGCTTCAATGCGGATCTTGTTCGCCTCGTCCTCCGACTTGTACTTCTCGGCCTCCGACACCATGCGGTCAATGTCCGCCTGCGACAGACGGCCCTTGTCGTTCGTGATCGTGATCTTGTTCTCCTTCCCCGTCGACTTCTCCACGGCCGACACGTTCAGAATGCCGTTCGCGTCAATGTCGAACGTCACGTCGATCTGCGGCACGCCGCGGGGCATGGGCGGAATGCCGTCCAAGTTGAACTTGCCCAGCAGATTGTTGTCGCGCGTCATCGACCGCTCGCCTTCAAACACCTGGATCAGCACGCCCGGCTGGTTGTCCGCGTACGTCGAGAACGTCTGCGACTTCTTCGTCGGCACCGTCGTGTTGCGCGCAATCAGCGTCGTCATGACGCCGCCCGCCGTCTCGAGACCGAGCGACAGCGGCGTCACGTCCAGCAGCAACAGGTCCTGCAGCTTCTCGGACGAGTCGTTGCCGCTCAGGATGGCCGCCTGCACCGTCGCGCCGTACGCGACCGCCTCGTCCGGGTTGATCGACTTGTTGGGCTCTTTGCCGTTGAAAAAGTCCGACAGCAGCTGCTGCACCTTCGGGATGCGCGTCGAGCCGCCCACGAGCACCACCTCGTGCACCTGACTCTTCGACAGCTTCGCGTCGCGCAGCACCTTCTCCACCGGCTCCATCGTCTTGCGGAAGTAGTCGCCGCACATGTCTTCGAACCGCGCGCGCGTGATGGTCGAGTTGAAGTCAATGCCGTCGAACAGCGAGTCGATCTCAATGTACGCCTGCGCCGACGACGACAGCGTCCGCTTCGCGCGCTCGCACGCCGTGCGCAACCGACGCAGCGCGCGCTGGTTCTCGGTAATGTCCTTGCGGTGCTTGCGCTTGAACTCCTGCGTAAAGTGGTCCACGAGGCGGTTGTCAAAGTCCTCGCCGCCCAAGTGCGTGTCGCCCGCCGTCGCCTTCACCTCAAAGATGCCGTCCTCAATGCTCAGCAGCGACACGTCGAACGTGCCGCCGCCCAAGTCAAAGATCAGCACGTTGCGCTCGCCGCCCTTCTTGTCCAGACCGTAGGCGATGGCCGCCGCCGTCGGCTCGTTGATGATCCGGAGCACGTTGAGGCCGGCAATGGCGCCGGCGTCTTTCGTCGCCTGGCGCTGCGAGTCGTTAAAGTAGGCCGGCACAGTAATCACCGCGTTCTTCACCTCTTTGCCGATGAACGCCTCGGCCACTTCGCGCATCTTGATGAGCACCATGGACGAAATCTCCTCGGGCTGGAACGTCTTCGACTCGCCCTTGAACTGCACCGTGATCTGCGGCTTGTCGCCGGCGCCCGACGTCAGCTTGAACGGCCAGTGCTTCACGTCGGCCTGCACGACCGGGTCCGAGAACTTGCGCCCAATCAGGCGCTTGGCGTCGAACACCGTGTTGTGCGCGTTCATCGCCACTTGGTTCTTGGCCGCGTCGCCGATCAGACGCTCCGTGTCCGTGAACGCCACGTACGACGGCGTCGTGCGGTTGCCCTGGTCGTTGGCAATGATCTCCACGCGGTCGTTCTGCCACACGCCGACGCACGAGTACGTCGTGCCGAGGTCGATGCCGACCGAGTAGCCAGAAACGGTTTGCGCCATCGTAGTCGAGTGGGTAATGAGTTGCGGTTGAGGTTGGGGTTGTTGGTGTGGGGTACTGTCTCCTTGGTGGGAAATTCAAAAGTGAGAGACGCAGAAGCCGACGTGCGGGTCGGTCGGTCGAATGGGCACACACACACACACACGGAGGGACGGCCGTGTTGGTGGGTGGGTGGGTACAGCGAGGGGGAGGGACGGCGAGTGCCACACCAGGTACACACCACCGCTGCGACCACCACCCACCCATCCAGTACGTTCGAGACAATTCCGTCAGCGACCAAAGCGGCTGCGAATTGGTCAAAAGTCGTCGTAGGGGACCACCGATTTCTCGGCAAGATCTTTTCGCTTGCCGTTTGTAACAACGTCGAACGTTCTGGAAGCCGCTTCCGTCTGCAACCAATGAGAACGAGTCAATGTGTAGCCAAGTCGCAGGCAGGGACACCGCGCTGCATGACTGTCGACAGCTCTCTTTCTCTCTCCCTCTCTCTCGCTCTCTCTGTGCCATACACCGGATGTAAATCAGATATATTGGGGGGGGGGGGGGGTACGTCGCCCACTATTGTCGTCGTCATTGCTGTTGCACACCCTGCTACGAAAGGGTGGCGAGGTGCATGCACGGTCGAATCAGGAGACATAGAGATTGTAGCTACGCTCGACGTATCATGAACGAACCAGATGAAACTGCACTCTTTGCTCGAGAACAAATTGCATCAACGCGTGAACCGACACAATGCCATCGATACAGTGGACGCCATTGATGGCGCAGGTGGGAGGGGACGTTTTCGCGAGAGCTTTCGCGGATTGTTGTCCGTTGTACTCTCTCGATCTGTCGCAAGCTTTTCCATTCCACTGTTGTATGCACACTTCGTGCAGGGTCCGCAAACGTGGCCGCCGTGCCATCCAGTAAGACATGATCGACGTGAAACTGCGCGCGTGCGTACGTGTTCATGATGCGTTCTCGAACGACTGCCTGTGACTGGCTGGCAGCGAGCGCAAGTTCGATGGCCTTCGACTCGACCGCTTGTGCAGCTGTTTGTATAGCTGCAACTTTCGAGCACTTCTTGTCCTTTTGCTCGAGCTGTCGTCTCGTCAGCGGCGCGCTGGTCGGACGGTCCGGTCGTCGTTGTGGCAAACGACGTCATAGTCGGCCGTGGAGCACTCGCCTCCTGATCCCAACCACAACCACACGCAGTGGGATGGCGTAGTGCCGTGTCAAAACGATTGACGTGGAGGATGCAGAAAGTAGCACATGCTTTGTCATTGATCATCAGAGTGCGCGCGCGGCCACTCGCTCACATTAATTTACAATAGCCCTCGACCGACAACTGCGCCAAGTCGTCGGCCTCATACAAACGTCACGGGTGGAGACACGAGTGGGTGGAGACGCGGAGACTGCTGAGCACACGGAGTAGCGCGATTGCACGCATTAAGACGGCTGCTGCTGCTGTGACGGCTGTAGCTGCAGTTGTTGCGGCTGTGCGATCGGCGGCCGCAGGAAGTTCAGGTCGACCGTCAGACTCGGCAGCATGGGTCGACCGCAGCTGTTGCCAATCACCGGCAGCGACGACGACGACGGCGGTGGCGGCGGGAGGAACGGCGAAAGCGGTGCAGTCGTCACGGCGGCCGTCACGGCGCCACTCGCCGTACAAGTGGCGAACGCGCGCTGCATACTCGCGGAGTACGACGCCTCCGAGTCGGACCCGTAGACAAAGCCGGGGTGCTCCAAGTGGTAGTGGCTCCCGACCGCGCCCACCGACACGGCCGCCACGGGCGGGGGCCAGTCCACGATCAGGTGTCGGATCGCCTGCTCGTTGCGGGACTGGAAGCGCACCATCAAGTGGCGCGCGTGCTTGACCGAGATGTCGGGCAGCTTCCGCAGCGCCGCGGCCTCCACGAGGTTCATGAGCTCGTCGAACGTCATGAGCACGCCCAGCTCGGCGCGGGCTACGACGACGCGCATAATGCCGGTCTCGTCTCGCTGGTGGAAGTACCCGGTCGTGGCCTTGGACGACTGGCCTTCCTGCGCCCGCTTCTTCACGCGGCGGTGGAGCGCGGCAAAGTGCACGCCGTAGACTTTGGCCGCCGCGCGCAGACTCATTCCCTGCTGCTCGACGGCCACAATGGCCTTTTCCCACGTCTCGGACGGCACCGTGTGGCTCAGTTTGTACCCATGTCTCGTGCTGCTGCTGCTGGTGCTGTTGCTGCTGCTGCCGCTCGTGATGCTGCTGCAGCCGCTCGGGATCGTAGCAGCAGCAACAGCAGCGGCCGCGCAGCGACAGCGTCCCGGTGGTGTCCCCCGCCGACCTCTCTGCAGCTGGCAGTGCCGTCTCTGTCCACGGCCACAGACGAGGCGACGCCACCGGCACTGCTACTGCTGCTGCTGCTGTCGCCTGTCGTCGCGCCGTTCTCGCTGTCGCCGCTCCCGCTGCTGGCGTTCGAGCCCACGTCTTCGCGGTCCCACGTCGTCTGGTCGCACGGCGGCCACGCAGCGCCGACGCGCCGGCCGTGCACGACGAGCGACCGCCGCTCGTGTTGCTGTCGGCGCGTGCGCTGCAGCAGCGGCGCGTCGCGGACGTCCAGTGGGCCGCGTCTGCCGCCGCCTCGCGCGTCCTCGTGGGGCGCGTGCACCAGTGCGAAGCGACTCGCGCACGGGCCGCCGCTGGTCGCGTCGCGGTGGACGTCGTCGTCGTCGTCACTGCTGCAGCTGCTGCTGCGGCCGACGTGGCGACTGCTGCGGCTGTCCGCGTTGAGACGGCGCTCGGGCCCGCGGGACGCGGCGCTCGTGGCAGGCGGCGCAAAGCCGTGCGCCCGCTTGAACGCGAGGATCCAGCGCGTGGAGGGAAAGTCGGGCGGCAGGTCGGCGGCGCCCTCGTGACTGGCGACCGCGCGCACGACGAACCGCACGTCGTCCGACGTCACGCGCTGCTCGTGGCGGAACTGCGCGCGCAGCACGTCGAGCACCTCCTGCTCGTCGCGGGCGCGCAGCGACTCGGGGCGCGTGTGGGCGGCGCACGTGGACGCGGCCGCGGGCCACGGCGGACGGAGTTTGGCGCGGCGGTGCTGGGCGTCCGTGTCGGAGGTGGCTCGGGGCATGTCGGTCGTCAGTGGGTCGGGTGGGTGGGTCGGCGCGCGGATCTGTGGGTCGGCGCTCGGTCGGATGTCTCCGTCCGATTCAAAAGTGAGACGGTCGGCTGGTCTGCGATATGTCCTCTACGTTCGACGAGCTTCTTTTCGCGTGCGTGGTTAGGGGAGTGAAGACTTGGGCGGGGGGGCAATAGATGCCTCTATTGACGATAGAGGCACCGGGCGGGGGATTAGAGCTTTGGTGTGCAAGTCCCGCCCGTCTCTTGCGGCATGTACCCCCTCGTGACGCGACTCGCTGGACGACGGACCAGACACTGGCAACGTGTGTTTCGCATCTCGCAGAGCATTGTCGCGCAATGATCGAGAGGCTGACAGGATGGACGACCACTTGGCGACGAGGATCTGGAGCCTGCGCTTGTCGCTGGTTGGCGTTGTGCCTCAGGACGGATCGTCCGACCACTTGACCGGAAGAGGGGGAGGGGGACGACGAGCAAGCAACGAACAAATGGCAATGAGGACCCAAGTGCTGTAGCCAGATGTGCGTTTGCGATAGCAGTGTCGCGTTCGTCTTGTCCCGAGCGCAAGACGTGTGCGAGTGTTTATGATAGTTAGTAGACGTGTGGCGTCAACGTTGAAGATTCGCTACAGCCGTTGTGAATCTTTGAAACAGGTGAAAAAGAGTGAGTTAGGAACGAACACGCGACAACCGAAGAAGCCGGAGCGGCGTATGATAAAGAGTCCGAATCGAATAACAAGGAAGTCGAAAGGCAGACACGGTTTGTATGGACAGGGAGGCTTCCGACCGATGTGAAAAAGACGTGGTGACGCGTACAAGAAGCAGAGCGATGACAAGTATGTAACGCATTCCACGAGTCTCCGATGGTCTCAGCGTGAGACGCATGCGCGAGTGACTTCTGCAGAAACTCTCGCAGCACCATCAGCACCATGTCGTTGAAGTTGTCGGTTGATCAAATGAGTGCATCATATATCACGTGGTTTTCGTGTCAAACTTTGTTTTGTTGCCAGGAAGTCAAGCCTCTCGCGTGTCTCTTCGACTGTAAATGACTGCAAAGCTACTTCGGTCCAAGCTCTTGACATTGCAGTGGCTGCACCTCCGTGCACAGCTTGCAATGTCGTGAAAATCGTTGCGGCCACCGCTCTCACGGCAGCTGTCGCAGTAGCATTCAGAATGCGCTGATGCAAGAACTACGGGGGGGGTTCGGTGCGTCTCGCCTCACGCGACAGGGTAAGACCAGCTGCTGGTCTTGTACCGACATAATTTCTCGTGAGTTCGCGTCAGCAAACCGACTACCAAACGACGTTTCGAACGGTGTGTATGCGTAAACCAAATCATACAATCCACGATGCTGTGAGCAGCTCAACATAAAGCAGGCGGCCAATGACTCGCATATCGCGCATTGCTACGGGGTGAGGCTGAGGGAAGTCTTGACGCGTTTCTACCAATTCACAATAGCGCTCTGGATTGACGCGGACACTCGCGTACCAAATTTCGTGGCCGTATCAGATATCACAGCATGAGTGAGCTCTGTATGTGCAGCAAGTACTTGTTCTCATGCTCACACGCGTTGACAGGTCCGAGGTGACAGGCAAACGACCACAGCTCTGTGGAGAAAACTCGTGAGTATTCGCGCCAGCGTCAGCGCAGATTCACTTCGTACCCACGACGTCAACGAACTTGCTCGACACATACTCCCTTCTCAACCTTTGACTCTGCGCTCTTGTCCATCGCGCCAGCGAAAGCTGTTGATGGTGCACCTCGGCAGCCCTCGAGCACATGCAGTTCCGGCTGCATTGACGTTCATTTGCTGGGGGTTCGACGCACTGCACGAAACAGCGTCCCACGACCGTTGCGTGTGTTCAAATGTGATGCCCGCGTCGGGTGTGCATTTCTATGGCTTTTGTGGAATCTGTTGCTTGACGAGCGAGAGAGGCACATGCACGCTGGGGTGACGAGGTCGGTCCTGGCGTTGCAGAGTCGATTGCGCGACGCGCTTGACGCGAAAGAAGCGAAAGAGACGCGAATGGATGGGACGAGAAAACGACTGCGATCGAGCGCATGTGGTGATTGCGTCCGCACTGCACCGCAAGTCGAGTGTGCAGGTTCTATTGCAACTTGCCTTTTCCATGGATAGACTGATACATAACTGACTTGGCCTTTCCGTCGCTGGCCGCACGTCCATGGCGACGGGGAAGAACGCCAGAGCGACTTGGGATCTCCGAATGTGAAAAGAACCGAGAAGAAGCCATCGAGTCGCCGACCACAACGTGTGGAGTGGGTGGCACGTCATCTGAAATCGCTGCGCACCCGACGTGTCTTTTACCTTTCAGCAGCAATAATCATTTCGTGCCAATGGATCAAAAGCACATGTTGCGTGGTCTCGAATCTCTACTCACGCCCGACGACTGGCGATCACTCGTGGGTTGCGCTGACCGCATATTCGCCCAGCCGTCGAGACGTGGCAAACTACAAAGCGCCCGCAACAACCTTTACGCGTGCCTCGCTCGCGCAACTGTGAAAGGGCCTTGAACAGATTGCGACACCTACGACGAACGTCAATGCCAAACGGCCATCTACCGATCTGGACATCGCGTCGAGGCGCCTCTGATCCGCAACGTCCTTCGTGTCTGTTGACCACGCGCTCACTTTGTTCGCTTCTGATTGCCAACGATGGAGTGATGGGCAGCAAATTTTGGATTTCCACGAGGTCCGCGTGACACTCATCCGACTGTAACTGTCTTGCGCAAAAGAGACACCGGTCATCTGTTTCTACTCGATGGTGTCACGGCCATAACGATCAGCCACAGCCGTCTGCCTCCTCACTGTTTCGTCGCAGCGGATAGCGACGAAGCGCAGTCGAAACGTGACGCGTTTCGCTGCAGTTAGTGTTTGGCCAGAGCTCAGGCAGAGCACATGTGCGACTTGTCACTTTGACTCGCTGTCCATTCAGACCGTTGATAGGTGGACTGCGGTCCCTTTATCGTCTACAGTGTGCACGTTTGCACGCGGTTCATTTAGGCTACAGCTACGCCTCTCTCTCTCTCTCTCTCTCTCTCTCTCTCTCTCTCTCTCTCTCTGCACCATCTCGACCACCCAAGAAACCAAACGCACGACTTTCTTGGAGGCGCAACAATGACGACGACGCTTCGACGTACTGTAGATGCACATGTGTCGGGTAAATTTGGCTTCCTACGCGTCGTTGATCCCTACAAGTCAGCGTGCTCGTGTCAGAAAGGCCAGCGGATAGTGGATGTACGATTGTCTTCATCCGCACAGAGCTCCAGCCCGTCGCAGGGACGTGTTGCACTTGGCTCAAACCACACACTCGCTCTGGGCTCGGCGGACGTGAGCGTGACGCGACTTTGGAACATTGCTGAAGTCTACTGCATCGCGCACAAGATGGACATGAACGCAGTTGAACTGTAACCACCAGACCTGTCCAAAAATTATAGCCATATGCGCGACATCGTGCGATTCGAACCCATCGATGCTACATGCTTCAGCGCCAGAACACAGTACTCGGCAAATCACATCGTCCACGAGCGTCCAAGATACTTCGAGGTCAGGTCCACGAGCATTTGGGCGTTTTGCACATGTTCAACGTGCACGCGACGCAATCGATCGCAGAATTCCTGTGTTCGTGCGCCAGCAACAGTAAAAGACACGCGCAATCACAGATTAGAGGCTATCGCGATTGTTCTTCTTTTGCCATGACAAGACGAACGCGACACTGCTATCGCAAACGCACATCTGGCTACCGCACTTGCGTCCTCATTGCCATTTGTTCGTTGCTTGCTCGTCGTCCCCCTCCCCCTCTTCCGGTCAAGTGGTCGGACGATCCGTCCTGAGGCACAACGCCAACCAGCGACAAGCGCAGGCTCCAGATCCTCGTCGCCAAGTGGTCGTCCATCCTGTCAGCCTCTCGATCATTGCGCGACAATGCTCTGCGAGATGCGAAACACACGTTGCCAGTGTCTGGTCCGTCGTCCAGCGAGTCGCGTCACGAGGGGGTACATGCCGCAAGAGACGGGCGGGACTTGCACACCAAAGCTCTAATCCCCCGCCCGGTGCCTCTATCGTCAATAGAGGCCTCTATTGCCCCCCCGCCCAAGTCTTCACTCCCCTAACCACGCACGCGAAAAGAAGCTCGTCGAACGTAGAGGACATATCGCAGACCAGCCGACCGTCTCACTTTTGAATCGGACGGAGACATCCGACCGAGCGCCGACCCACAGATCCGCGCGCCGACCCACCCACCCGACCCACTGACGACCGACATGCCCCGAGCCGCCTCCGACACGGACGCCCAGCACCGCCGCGCCAAACTCCGTCCGCCGTGGCCCGCGCCCGCGTCCACGTGCGCCGCCCACACGCGCCCCGAGTCCCTGCGCGCCCGCGACGAGCAGGAGGTGCTCGACGTGCTGCGCGCGCAGTTCCGCCACGAGCAGCGCGTGACGTCGGACGACGTGCGGTTCGTCGTGCGCGCGGTCGCCAGTCACGAGGGCGCCGCCGACCTGCCGCCCGACTTTCCCTCCACGCGCTGGATCCTCGCGTTCAAGCGGGCGCACGGCTTTGCGCCGCCTGCCACGAGCGCCGCGTCCCGCGGGCCCGAGCGCCGTCTCAACGCGGACAGCCGCAGCAGTCGCCACGTCGGCCGCAGCAGCAGCTGCAGCAGTGACGACGACGACGACCACCGCGACGCGACCAGCGGCGGCCCGTGCGCGAGTCGCTTCGCACTGGTGCACGCGCCCCACGAGGACGCGCGAGGCGGCGGCAGACGCGGCCCACTGGACGTCCGCGACGCGCCGCTGCTGCAGCGCACGCGCCGACAGCAACACGAGCGGCGGTCGCTCGTCGTGCACGGCCGGCGCGTCGGCGCTGCGTGGCCGCCGTGCGACCAGACGACGTGGGACCGCGAAGACGTGGGCTCGAACGCCAGCAGCGGGAGCGGCGACAGCGAGAACGGCGCGACGACAGGCGACAGCAGCAGCAGCAGCAGTAGCAGTGCTGGTGGCGTCGCCTCGTCTGTGGCCGTGGACAGAGACGGCACCGCCAGCTGCAGAGAGGTCGGCGGGGGACACCACCGGGACGCTGTCGCTGTCGCGGCCGCTGCCGTTGCTGCTGCTACGATCCCGAGCGGCGGCTGCAGCAGCAGCACGAGCGGCAGCAGCGGCAACAGCAGCAGCAGCAGCAGCAGCACGAGACATGGGTACAAACTGAGCCACACGGTGCCGTCCGAGACGTGGGAAAAGGCCATTGTGGCCGTCGAGCAGCAGGGAATGAGTCTGCGCGCGGCGGCCAAAGTCTACGGCGTGCACTTTGCCGCGCTCCACCGCCGCGTGAAGAAGCGGGCGCAGGAAGGCCAGTCGTCCAAGGCCACGACCGGGTACTTCCACCAGCGAGACGAGACCGGCATCATGCGCGTCGTCGTGGCCCGCGCCGAGCTGGGCGTGCTCATGACGTTCGACGAGCTCATGAACCTCGTGGAGGCCGCGGCGCTGCGGAAGCTGCCCGACATCTCGGTCAAGCACGCGCGCCACTTGATGGTGCGCTTCCAGTCCCGCAACGAGCAGGCGATCCGACACCTGATCGTGGACTGGCCCCCGCCCGTGGCGGCCGTGTCGGTGGGCGTGGTCGGGAGCCACTACCACTTGGAGCACCCCGGCTTTGTCTACGGGTCCGACTCGGAGGCGTCGTACTCCGCGAGTATGCAGCGCGCGTTCGCCACTTGTACGGCGAGTGGCGCCGTGACGGCCGCCGTGACGACTGCACCGCTTTCGCCGTTTCTGCCGCCGCCACCGCCGTCGTCGTCGTCGCTGCCGGTTATTGGCAACAGCTGCGGTCGACCCATGCTGCCGAGTCTGACGGTCGACCTGAACTTCCTGCGGCCGCCGATCGCACAGCCGCAACAACTGCAGCTACAGCCGTCACAGCAGCAGCATGCCGTCTTAATGCGTGCAATCGCGCTACTCCGTGTGCTCAGCAGTCTCCGCGTCTCCACCCACTCGTGTCTCCACCCGTGACGTTTGTATGAGGCCGACGACTTGGCGCAGTTGTCGGTCGAGGGCTATTGTAAATTAATGTGAGCGAGTGGCCGCGCGCGCACTCTGATGATCAATGACAAAACATGTGCTACTTTCTGCATCCTCCACGTCAATCGTTTTGACACGGCACTACGCCATCCCACTGCGTGTGGTTGTGGTTGGGATCAGGAGGCGAGTGCTCCACGGCCGACTATGACGTCGTTTGCCACAACGACGACCGGACCGTCCGACCAGCGCGCCGCTGACAAGACGACAGCTCGAGCAAAAGGACAAGAAGTGCTCGAAAGTTGCAGCTATGCAAACAGCTGCACAAGCAGTCGACTCGAAGGCCATCGAACGTGCGCTCGCTGCCAGCCAGTCACAGGCAGTCGTTCGAGAACGCATCATGAACACGTACGCACGCGCGCAGTGGATTAACAATTACATGTTGTGCGGTAATTAATTGGCTGTCGGACGTTGTCTAGAACAATCGGTCGAGATGTTTACGCGCGGGTCGGCCGCTCTATGCATTACCGTGCGCTCGAACCATCTGGAACGATCGAGACGTAGCCGAGACGAACGCGTCTCTCAAGCGTCAGGGCGGACAAGTTGTTGGAACCACATGGCAGTTAGGCACACAATTACATCACTTCGAAAGTTGCCTTGTAAACAACAACCGCTTCAACTATACCATCCAAACACGCGTTTGGAGCTCTCGAAACTACAGCTTTCTCGCACTTGACCCAACAGAATGACGCAAACCGTTTCTGGCTACTCTGTCGGCATCGACCTCGGCACGACGTACTCGTGCGTCGGCGTGTGGCAGAACGACCGCGTGGAGATCATCGCTAACGACCAGGGCAACCGCACGACGCCGTCGTACGTGGCGTTCACGGACACGGAGCGTCTGATCGGCGACGCGGCCAAGAACCAAGTGGCGATGAACGCGCACAACACGGTGTTCGACGCCAAGCGCCTGATTGGGCGCAAGTTCTCGGACCCGGTCGTGCAGGCCGACGTGAAGCACTGGCCGTTCAAGCTGACGTCGGGCGCCGGCGACAAGCCGCAGATCACGGTGCAGTTCAAGGGCGAGTCGAAGACGTTCCAGCCCGAGGAGATTTCGTCCATGGTGCTCATCAAGATGCGCGAAGTGGCCGAGGCGTTCATCGGCAAAGAGGTGAAGAACGCGGTGATTACTGTGCCGGCCTACTTTAACGACTCGCAGCGCCAGGCGACGAAAGACGCCGGCGCCATTGCCGGCCTCAACGTGCTCCGGATCATCAACGAGCCGACGGCGGCGGCCATCGCCTACGGTCTGGACAAGAAGGGCGGCGAGCGCAACGTGCTGATCTTTGACTTGGGCGGCGGCACGTTCGACGTGTCGCTGCTGAGCATTGAGGACGGCATCTTTGAGGTGAAGGCGACGGCGGGCGACACGCACTTGGGCGGCGAGGACTTTGACAACCGCCTCGTGGACCACTTTACGCAGGAGTTCAAGCGCAAGCACCGCAAGGACATTACCGAGAACCAGCGCGCGCTGCGTCGGTTGCGCACGGCGTGCGAGCGCGCGAAGCGGACGCTGTCGTCGTCGGCGCAGGCGTACATTGAGATCGACTCGCTGTTCGACGGCATTGACTTCAACTCGACCATCACGCGCGCGCGGTTCGAAGACATGTGCGGCGACTACTTCCGCAAGACGATGGAGCCGGTGGAGAAGGTGCTGCGCGACGCGAAGCTGTCGAAGAGTCAGGTGCACGAGGTGGTGCTCGTGGGCGGCTCGACGCGCATCCCGAAGGTGCAGCAGCTGCTGTCGGACTTTTTCAACGGCAAAGAGCCCAACAAGTCGATCAACCCGGACGAGGCGGTCGCGTACGGCGCGACGGTGCAGGCGGCCATCCTGAGCGGCAACGACTCGTCCGAGAAGCTGCAGGACCTGTTGCTGCTGGACGTGACGCCGCTGTCGCTCGGTCTCGAGACGGCGGGCGGCGTCATGACGACGCTGATTGCGCGCAACACGACGGTGCCGACGAAGAAGTCGCAGACGTTCTCGACGTACGCGGACAACCAGCCGGGCGTGCTGATCCAGGTGTTTGAAGGCGAGCGGTCGATGACGCGCGACAACAATCTGCTGGGCAAGTTCAACTTGGACGGCATTCCGCCCATGCCCCGCGGCGTGCCGCAGATCGACGTGACGTTCGACATTGACGCGAACGGCATTCTGAACGTGTCGGCCGTGGAGAAGTCGACGGGGAAGGAGAACAAGATCACGATCACGAACGACAAGGGCCGTCTGTCGCAGGCGGACATTGACCGCATGGTGTCGGAGGCCGAGAAGTACAAGTCGGAGGACGAGGCGAACAAGATCCGCATTGAAGCGAAGAACGCGCTGGAGAACTACGCGTACAACTTGCGCAACACGCTGAACGACGAGAAGCTGAAGGATCAGATCTCGGAGGACGACAAGAAGGCGATCGAGGACAAGGTGACGGAGACGATCAACTGGCTCGACGCGAACCAGTCGGCCGAGAAGGAGGAGTACGAGGCCAAGCAGAAGGAGGTCGAGGGCGTGGCCAACCCGATCTTGCAGAAGATGTACGCTGCGGCGGGTGGCGCTCCTGGAGCCGGTGGTATGCCTGGCGGTATGCCCGGTGGTATGCCCGGTGGTATGCCCGGTGGTATGCCAGGGGCCGGTGCCCCGCCTGCTGGAGGTGCAGACCAGGGTCCCAAGATCGAAGAGGTGGATTGAGCTCTCAAGAAGAAGTTGCAGTGCATAATAGTAGGTTGGCGAGGAATGACGGCAAGTGTATGCCTCTTTGACGACTACGTAGATGACTGAAAGTGGACCGTTGTTCAGGAAGTAGTCGTAATGAAGTTTGTGGTGATGCATCGCTGTAGTGTTGAAGCATTGCAGTCTGGTTGACACAGTATAACTACTGGAAGGCATGTGCGCAGCATTTACATTGCGTGGGCGCAAGAAGTGCGACCGACAAGTTTTCTTCGCATTGAACGAAGAGTGTATTGTCCCCAAAGTTGGTAACCCACACTTGTTGATCACACGCTGTGCGTTGGCTGACAAAGGAGGAGATGCCTAGTCGTCTACATACCTGCTATGGTATGCAAGATGTCGTCTGAAATGTCCTACGTCAGGACATATTGCCGGGGACGGGCGCTGGTCGTGGCTGAATTTTGTAGAAGTCGGATGCCCATGTGGATCTTGATTTTAGTTATCCGACACAATCGCGCGGACAACTCCTACCTACTGCCAGTGCTGTTGCTCGGTGTTCGTATCGATGCGCTCGTGACTGGAAGAGACGGCTTCCCTCGAAGTAACGCCGCGTGTTGCTCTACCCACAGATGCACTCGGCAAACGAAAAACGAGTCGAGCCTAATGTGCTGAGATGGAATTTGTCTCTGCGGCATTGACACCGTCTCGATAGCGATTGTTTAGACGATTTCGCAGTCGTTGTGGTAGCGATAGAACTTGGCGACGTGCGCACTATCTACAGTGGACGCCACGAAGCCCCCGACTCCTTCGCGCGTCTAGTGTCGTATGCACAGGCTCCAACACGCTCGTGGGTTCACACGATTTCATTAATGTATGCTGATGTCTGTTTCCACTCTCCTTGCTTTGCACTAGTTTGTTGCAGCTATTGCCGACCGAGCGGCTGGAATGATATTGATCCAACTGTTCGGTCGCGATCCGACAACGTGTCCAGGCTTGGTACTCAGTGAGATTATTCGGGCGGTTCTAGACCTTCGAAGGGCGTTGATGTGCTGCCGCTGTAAGTCATCGATCCGTCAGCACCATCTCCGTAAAGCGGGTAAGCCGCGTCTGTAGTGCCAGCCAAAGCATACAGTTTTGATGATCAATTGCCCGCCACATCATGGAGTTCAGGTACGGACGGTGTGTAGTTCAGTACACTCCACGAAAAGCGACGGAGTAGTGGGCGTGCGACAAAACTTAGCTATTGGACAGCTCACGTCTTTTGCAAGTGGAATCGCTCGCGGAAGAGCTTCTGCGTTTCGCCCCACGAATGCGAATACAATCCGTCAGCACACGGTAGGATCCTGATTGCAGACGCTGTGGATAAAGTTAGGTCCCGCCGTGTACCAAAACCTAAACTGCTGTCGACTCGTGTCCACAGATGGCATACCGAAGTGGCAGTCGTTGACGTTATGTTAGTTGCGGCTCAGTTAGTTCTGTATCAATTGCAATGTATTGTGAAGTGGACAGGATCGCGATCATCGATCGCCGTAATTTATGGTGCGCGAGTTGCGGGGAGTCCTCCCTGGGTTGGAATCGTAGCTACAAAATCGTTAAATTATCATTCCAGTAAGACCGCTTCCAGAAGCAGGTGATCGCCGCCAACCTGGAATCGGAGACGTCTTTGTTGGTTGGGATTTCGATGGCATGACAATACCCCCTCCGGCCATCCGACAAATAATTCGCCCAATATAAGAGAAACTGAGTATTGTAGATTGCTCGTTCTACTATCCAACACTATGAACGCAGTTTTGCTCATCCGATATCAATATCTTTGTTGAAAGTATTTTTGCATTCAACTTTAAGCTAAAAAGACAAAAATATTCTTAAATTTCGCGAAATTGATATTTGCATGCGATGCAAGCACTTACAAGGTAAATTGCATGAGCAAACCTCATTACCAGTACCACAAATGTACAAAAGTCCCAAAATTAGTACTATACTCAACTCAAGTACATAAAGCATAAAGAAATAGTATTGATCCCATTTTATGCTTAACTGCAACATAGAATAAGAAACTTCTTGATTTCTAACGAGTCTTTCCAATTTGATAGTCAACTGTCACACAATGGTCGCAAAAGCTCCATTTTACCAACGCTCGTTCACTTATCATTTGCGCCCTCGCGCCGATGTGCCCATTCGCAGTGAGAAGATCGCGTCTGAGCCCCGTCTATAAGAAATGCCTGTTTATAAACGATGTGTCAGTCATTGTTATGTTACAGGTTCAACGGATAGAACATGTGATGGTGACACATGACTGGTCGAGTCCACAAAATCTTGACAGATGGTTGAACGAGGCTACGAGGGTGACAGATGGTGCGACAAGGCAACGACAGTGACAGGTGTCGTGTAACGGGGTTACACGTCGACTGGTAGTCGACAATAGGTGTGGTACACACAAGGGATGGGATCCCCTTTAAAGTAATATTGGAACGCAAGTATCAATTGTTGAAGACTGATGTCTGTCAATGATTGATTACAAGATCATTTAATGGGTTTATTTAGGACATGAGCGAGTAGGTTAATTACGTTGTTCTAAGGTGTTCTTCTAGGTTAAAAGAAGAAATAAAATTCAGTTCCCATTTTGATCCGAAAGACACGTGCCTCTTTCAGGCGTCTTGCGATCGTTAAGGAGGTAGCAACGCCTTGTTAAGACATCTACTCCTTGTGCACTCTGTGCGTTTAATTTTTTGAATCGTTTGGTCCCCCTGGAACAGGGACCGTAAGCTCTCTGAGCTTGTTGACTCTTTGAGTCGGGTTCTTTGAACCACCCTTTTGCTCTCGGAGCTGTTGACTCTTTGAGTCGGGTTCGTAGAACCAATGTTGCTCATTGAGCGTTAAGTCTTCCTCTGACTTAAGGAGCTGTGTAGCTCCGCTACATGTCGTGACAGGATGGTGTTGGATTAGGTGGCGGGAAGAGGTAGCAATATGACCGTTAATCGACATGGCTGTTGTCGAAGAAGCGCCTCGGCCGGAGAGTGGGAACCGAACGGTACGTTTAGACGATTAGTAATGCTCGAAGAGGCGATTACTATACTAATGCGCGACTGTACGAATAGTAATTTGTGAAGGGGCAATTACCAATCCGCGATTGTACGATCAGTAATGCGCGAAAGGGCGATTACTAATGCGCGACATAGCGATTACGAATGTGCAGTTAAAGAATCCAGTAGGCTTATAGTAGCAAAAGTAAAATATATATATAGGTCCTTAGTTTGCGAACTAAGGACCTATATATATATTCACTTTGCATTTTACCATCTAGTGCTCAGCTGCCTTTGTCTCTAGGTATGAGCAAAAGCCTCCTAGTTCTAACGAAGACTACGACTACGCCTTCGCTATGGACGCCGCCTCGACCCCAACTGCTCGCATCATCAAATTCCAAGGGACCAACTTCCATACATGGAAGTTCAAGATGCAGATGGTTCTGGAAGAGCGCGACCTGTGGGAAGTCACAAGTGGAGAGGTCAAGCTAGAGCACTGCACCAACGCGATGGATCAAGCGACGTTCAAGAGAAAGTCGCGCAAGGCGCTGGAGATCATCTGTCTTGCGATGAAAGATTCGCAGCTGCCGCTGGTCCGCTCGGCGATTGGAGCGTACGATGCGTGACCAATACTGTAAGGGCACTACGAAAAGAAGGGTCCGGCGAACAAGCCCTTTCTTCGTCGACGCTTCTTCACGAAGATGATGGATGAAGGTGATGATGTACTGGAGCACATCAACAAGCTCAAGACTCTGGCGGAGCAGCTCGATGCGGTCGGCGCTTCGCTCAGCGAAGACGACTTGGTGATTACGCTTCTTGGTTGTCTAAGCGAGTCGTTCCAGTTTCTAATCACGGCGTTGGAGTCGCGTACCGACTTTCTGTCATGGGAACTCGTAACGTCTCGGCTAATGCATGAAGACATGAAGCGCAAAGGAACAAGGTGGCGGCGTCGACGGAGCCGCGCAAGGTCAAGGTCAAGCGTTCATGACAAGCGATCATAGCAAGCCGAAGTAGGACGACCTGTGCAGAAGGCCAGTGCATGTCACTACTGTGGCGAACAAGGACATTGGATTGCCAAGTGTCCAGTGAGGATCCGCTAGAATGCGAAACGGCAGAGGCCGCAAAGAGCAAGAGTCGCGCAGGTTGAATTAGACTCTGGCGAATTTCTGCTTTCAGTTGATGGTGATAACATCAAGCTGTGTGAAGAATGGCTGGTCTACTCGGGTTCGACTCAGCACATGACGTACTCGAAAGGGTACACGAAGAACTAACAGAAGATCTCGCTAGTGGATGCGCACTTGGCGGATGACGGCGTGGTACAAGCAGTGGGAAAGGGAGACATCATTATGTCAAAGAGGACCAAATGCGGCGTCAAGAAAGGTGTGCTTACTGGCGTGTGCTTACTGGCGTGTGGTAAATCCCCAAGTTGACGCGTAACCTATTCTTTGTGGGGCGTTTTACGAAGGACATTGGCCCTGTCACATTTGAAAGTGACGGGTGCTTTGCTCAGGCGAATAGTGTGAAGTGGCAGCTGGGTACGCGCAAGGGAAAAGGCCTATTCAAGTTATACATGACCCCGCTCATGCCCGACGAGGCAAATGTGTCAAGCTCAACCGGTTTCAATGGGACCACCAGTTCATATATCTGGCATCTTTGACTTTGCCATATTGGCCATGGCGGTCTGGACTCCATTGTCAAGAAGGGCTACGGCATTGGCATCAACATTTCGTCTTTGCAGCAGCGGTAGACGTGTCAAGGGTATGCTTTTAACAAATGAACGCGAGTGAACTTCATGTCAAAGTCCCCAGAGCGTGTAAAGAAGATGCTAAAAAAACATCCATAGCGATGTATGTGGTCCTATGCAAACAGCTACATTTGGTAGTAGCAGATACTTTGTCACGTTCATTGACGAGTATTCACACTTTTGTGTGGTGTTCTTGCTCAAGAACAAGACTGAAGTGTCGGACAAGTTTGCCGAATTCGTCGCATTTGCAGAGA